GTGTGTATGGTATGCATATGTATGGCAAACTTCATGAAATCTTTTTGCTGAACAGCGCACCTTGCTGATCTGTTTCAAAGTAGGATATTCTGTAGGGGGACATTCTGTAGTGGGAACCTAGCTCAAATTAAGTGACAGAACGCCAGTCACAACAGGAAACTCTTGGAGTCTTTTTAACAGCAGGTTGAGGTAAGTGTTGCAGAAACACTRCACAGACTGAGGTATAAACCCCCAACGGAGCTAGTAGTGGGCAAAATGCTTATAAAAGCAGACAGATTGCTGTGCACTTATTGGTCTCAGACTTGCACAGTTTGTGACCCGAGATGGAGACATTATGTCATTGATGGACAAGGTCCTAGCAAAACTTCTGGTATAATGCTTGATATAAATAAAAACAGAGCAGTCCTCCACTACGTAGATGCCTTCTGTCCTTCTGTGTATCACTTCAATAAATCATAAGTAGTGCAAACTTGTCTGAACACAAAGGAAGACAATGTCCTGGAATAAGCCTAAGCAAAGAAATAATGGATCACTGTTTATATTTCGTGAAATACAAATCTGGAGGAGGAGCTGCAAAGCTTCATGTGTAACTTGTTCTTGCAGAGCCTTCAATAGCTTAATGACCATCAATTACTTTTGAACAAGAACATTGTTCCAGTGACCCTCCCCTGAAAAACAAAGTTCTGTGAAGAACTGTTTCAGGCAAAAGCACTCAGGGAAGGGAAAGTTAATGATAGAGAATGAGTAAATACCTAATAGGAAGAAGATCCGAACTCTGAAAAAGTAACACGTTGGCAGCCTGCAGGTGCAACAAACCACAGCTTGTTCATTCCTATATTTTCATGCCAGTTAATTCCTGGTCATCTAGTGAGTTTTGACTAAGAAAGGTCTTCAGAATTTCTTAATATAGAAAAGATACTGGTAAATAAGAAGTATGAATAGGTTGAATGCTATTAATAGAGAAGCTGAGATAGATGCCCTTGGTCTCTTGCTTTCTTTGCCACCACTGACTGCACTAAAACTTGGTTACACRTTGGCTTCTAAGACACTTCCCATGCGCTGGTTTTGGTCTGCATGGGTTATACTTCAAGTTCAAACCAGTAGAGTTTTCCTTGRCTTCTCCCAAGCCACCACTGCTTGTGGGTTCGCTCCAGTGGTGGTAAGTAGTGAAAAGGAACTGATAAAGTAGAAGACAAATGAAAGAAAAAGGCATGAAGCAAAGAAGCTTTGGGAGGACAAATGTGAACTCAGACTCCAGTTGATTAAAATAACCYGTTGATGTGTCAGTGCTGCAGCCTTGTTGTGCTCCTTGTCCARATCCCTCGGAACTTTTTGAAATTCYAGGCTCTAGATGTTTTCCAAGCAAAAATGAATAGCACCTCTCTTACGTGTGATGCAACACTGTCATCCRGCAATGGGGAGAATGGTGCCTGACTGCAGTGATCCCAGAGTTTTGCAGCATGCACGATGAGGAGACATCCCGCACGTCACTGACGCACCTCTTCCATGTATCCTTTGCTATTATTCCTCTTCAGTCCGGTGTACCCACAATTGCACTGTTGGATTTATGCTTCCACCTCTTTGGTAGAAAGAGTCATTTTGTGTCTCTGCGTGTCCTTACAGGACAGAATATGTGCTTGTAATGTATAAGCTGCCTTCACAAGGCTAATGTTAACAGGACTCTGACAGGAACAGGGCTGGGAACTAACTGTATTTCCGAGCTTGCCGTAGTCCAAATGGAGACTGGCCTCCTGTCCCTGCAGCCATGGCTTAGGTACATGCAATGTGCCCTCCTCTATCTTTGGAAAACAACTGTTGCTGCTTTATATATTCAATGCATTGCAAAATGGGACATATTTGGGGGCTTAATTCCAAGGTCAGTTCCACTGGCAGTGGATGGAACTGGTAGCAAGTGCATGAGTGACACTGAGTGGAGATGTTCTTCTCTGTGGCACCAAGATGGATAAGGATAGACAGCATCTTGCTTTGCTAAGCACTATAAGCAAAACACCTCTAATGTGACAGGAGGTCATTTTTTAAAATAGCAGTAGGAAAATAAAAAGGTTTCCATATGGAGTAGGTGTTTTTAGTTAACTGAGTCAAAGGGTGTGATTAGTTTGCTGATTTGCACCATTATGCATGCATATAGGCAATCCAAACTGAGTACGGAAAAATTTTGGTCCAAAAAAAAAGATTTTAAGTACACATATTACAAATGCTAACCACAGCATGCAGCATAATCATTGCCACAATATCAAGCACGGATGCTATGATAGTGCACTGATTCCTGAGTTTATTGGTACAGTAGGTGAGTTTTTAAACAAACCTTAGTTCCAAAGGAAAACAAATTGCATCCAGAGCCACTAGATAAAATCCACAGTGTCAGATAAAAACTGTGCTCTCTGCATCAGGTGCTCTGTGTTTTTAAARAGCAAGCAGTGGTGACAAGCCGAGATGTTAGGCCTTGCACAAGGCCTAATACACAAGCTGATCTTTCATGTGTAAGTGACATAAACAGAAGAAAATTTGCCAGTTCATCATGGGATCATTTTTAGGTCATCATACTCACAGTATTTACTCTTTTGTATATTTTTGATTCTTTCCTTTCTTGAAACACTGGTTTTAGAAACAAATAATTGGGAGAGGTTGGCTGCATAGTTGTTTATTTGGAAAAGATTTTGCTGCTTTGCAAGGCATAAAAGTATTTTTCATTGAGAAATGGGTTCCAGACCTCATTAAATAAATAGCTTTTCCTGGTTCCAAGGTAGCAAAGCTTTTCTGTGCTTGTTCTTCTCCCATTTCATGGAGCTAGCTTGCCTAACGAGGGAAAGAATTTGGCAGAGGGAACGCTAGCTCGAGGAGCAGCAGTCATTSCTTGAGAAGGTACTGCAAAAATAGCCTTTGGAAGAATGATTCATTTTTCACCCCAAAAATGAATCTGCAGCACCCACTGTCTAATTGCTATTAGAGGTGAAGGAAGCGGAACTGCAGTAACGGCTTTGGATTATAAGCACGTGCCAAAGGAAGAACAGAAGTGCAGTACAGTATAAATGCAGTACAGACTCCTCACTGCTTTGTTGGCTTCCTTTCTAAAATGGGTCCTAGTGATTTTATTTTCTTTGATGGTTACACTCTACTGCAAGCCTGGAGCAAGGAGGAAATGGTAGCCTGTTATATGCAGCTGTAGAAAACTGGGTGCTCGCTCCCTACTCGCTCTTACCCTCATTTTCCTTCTCATTTTCCTGTCCTTCCATGGTACAATCGTAAGCAGGAGAATTAATAGGATTCCTATCCTGTAACACCGCTATATCTTAAGCACCGAGCCTATTCCATTTTCTTTCTCAGTTACTACATGGTCTTGGTTTCTACCAGGTGTAAAGCTGTAGACTGAGATGGAGACTCAAAAGTAGACTCCCAGAATAGAGCACAGGTACTGCTAGTCTCAGCAGTCCCCTTAGCTATTGTCTGTTATTCAGAAATACCAGCCCAGGGAATGACAGCCACCTATGGAAACGACACGGTGGGGGAAAACAAAACTATTCTCTTGCATCCAAACCTGACAACACTTATCAGCCTAAATGTTTTGCTCACAGGCCTATGCAGTTTTCTTCTACATGAGATTTTGTTATTCTGCATTACGTTCCTGGGRGGCATGTATATGATGAGTAAGGTATCTCTGCTATGGAAGTGCTAATTATCACTTTGTAAGTCAGCGCACACAGCCTCAGGAGTTCATAAAGGAAAAGAAAGCACTTGCAGGTTTTCCTGTCTACATGATGCTTTTTATTCATGTATTTGATTCATGAAACTAAGTATTCTTTCTATAAATAAGATTATATGGTTTCTTTAGATGGCTTTTTACTGCAGTCRAATGGTGTGAGAGTACAGGGGCATAAATGAGCTTTTCTTCCATTAGATTTCAGTTATCAGAAGGCATCTCATTTTACCAGCTGGACTCGGTGACCAGCTCTCTGGTATTACGTTGATACCTCACAATGCACTTTGTGATTCACTTTGTGCTACCTTATACTTTAAAGTCTTTTATATATATAAAAAAAAAAAAGTGATACTCAGAAGTATTAGAAGTTGTTAATGGAAAATCTAAAGCAAGTATTCAGAGATCAAAATCCATGAGCAATGTGTATGAATGGTCCAATTTAGGGAAAAGTGCTGTAGTTTCCTTTAAATAAAAAAAAATAAAAATAAAATTAAAAAAAAAAAAACCCTTCAAGTACTTAGCCTAAGCAGAATGGCAGGAAAAGTATTGTTTCCAGATGTGCATTGAAGTAAATCAGTGAACCTGAGTAATGGCACTTTATTTGATAAATGCACTAGGAGTTTGGATATAGAACATTATCAAACCCTTTAAAGCCTGACTCTAAATTTATTGACTCAAATTTATTGCTGTTAGGGACAAGAGGAATGAACTATTAAATGAAATTTGTCATCATGTTAATACATAGTTGGCTTGTTTTTTGTAAAAAAAAAAATCTTATTGTTTTCTTAAATTATTCAGCTTAGCTACCACAAACCAACAAAAAAAAAAGGTTTAATTAGTTTGGGGTAATGATGGAGGTATGAAATTGCATTCGGAGCATTTCTCTATGTAACTTATCCCAAGCAGCAAATGAAAGAAGCCAAATATAACATTCTGATCAGTGTTGCTTTTGTCTGTCCGGTCTCTCAGGCTTTCTGAATTTCATTTAACTGAAATATTTAGACATAAAATCATTAACAAATATAAAATTCAAAAAAAAAAAATACTACCTGAGAACTTTCCCCACTGTTGAACTGTATGTTGCAAAAGAATGTAATCAGAGTATACCTCCACACCGGACTGATGCTGTTGAGTGYGCTCTTCTCATATGTTTGTGCGATTCTAATGCACTGCTTGAAGAAATGAGCTATACGTTTTGGGGAGATGCTCATTGAAGAAGCATTTAAACTGTATAAAAACTTCTGTGTATTTTAAGCTAATAGGCAGTTTAGTAATTTCTTACCTTGGCCAGCTGTGCTTGGAGTTTGTTCTTTGCATCGGCTACCTCTGAGATGCGCTTAYTGAAAGCCAAGTTGGTATTCGTGTAATGACCCCACGTCTCCTCAGAGGCCGTCTCCAGCGCAGCCTCTGTCTCACCGTGGAGCCTCGCAGAGTCGGCCCGCGCACGCTGAGAGGCCTTGATATTGTCCTCACTGAACTTTGCCCATGTCTCAGGAACTGAAACACTAGAAAGAATTTTTTTTGAAGAAGAAAAGGAAGAAGAAACAATTAATGGCTAGCTGCGCTATCTTCCATTCAATGATGATTTCTCTCATTGAAATATGTGCAGTCTTCCACATAATATGACTTTAAAGGTTTTATAYTGTCTATTTTCTGTATGTTTGTTTCATGCAGACCAAAGACTTTTGATCAAGAGAACTGTTCCTTCGATGGAGTTCCTATGGTTTCCTTACGTGCTGTAGTAACTAACTACAAGAAATATTAAGTAAAATAACAATCAGAACCCCRAAGTACAACAAAGAAGAATGAATATCTCTACTTCCTGAAACAGTGGACAAGTACATTACATTAATCCTCAACAAAATCTTTGTTTTCTAGCCAGTGTTTGTATAGCTGCTAACTGAAGGTCTCAATGCCCCTGGCATGAACTCCAMAGTAAGCTGATTTAGGTATTGCTATATAAAGAGTGACCTGTTCTTGCATGCTTGTTGCATATTTATACATAAAAATACTTCTTCAAGATCAGATATGCATGTCAGCAAGAAAGCTTCACTCCATCTTTAACAGACTAGGTCGTGGTCTGAGTTCATACCTGCAGTATTTCAGCTGAAATTGGACAAGTTCTCTGTCAAGTTTCCAAGTGTGAATGGCTTTAAGGGATTACTGGGAGATTTAGCATGAAGAACTGTATACTGCAGACCATCGAATTAGTTTCAAGTACTGTGTATTTTTGCAACTCCAAAGCCTTTCTGCTAGGAAGACTGAGTTGTGTGTCAGCAGCGGGGAACGTGAGAGTCCACTGCTGTTGAGCGAGGACGGGAGGCAGCCGCAGCGAGCAGGTTGGTGGCAGGATGGTGGCACGGGGGAAGCAGCTGCAGCGAGCAGGACGGTGGCAGGACGGTGGCACAGCTCCTAGGCTCAGCGCCCCCTCACAGGAGATAGGGCCTGGCCCGTGACCAGGGGCTCTGACCCCCTAGGAGCCTCCATCATGAGAAGGACCCGCAGCAGGAAAGCAGACCAGGCAGCGACCTGAACCAGCAACCACTTCGCTGTCTTTTTTGTGTCATTTGGAGGAATATCCACCTCTGCCCTAACTTGCTATTACAGCTAAAGTTAGTAATATCAGCGAAACATACAGAAGTGTCTCTGCTAGGGAAAAGCCTGGGAATGCACAGTAAAACCAAATAGGGGGCTCCTGCACTGAAAAATGCCATATACAAGGGTTCCTCTRCAGGGTGCTGTACGCACCCAAACTTTGGGACATTTGATTTCACTTCCAAGACTCACAATTGGCCTTCATTATCATTAGTCATTGAATTTAAAAGCAAAATTCTTTTTTTTCTTTTTTTTTTCAAACTGGGAGTCTGTGTGGCTTTAAACCTGCAGCCTGAGCCTGTAGCCTCTTTGTTAAAAGTCTGGATCTGGATAATGTGCTTTAAGAGCATGGAAGCTCTTAGGAATATGAAGGGTGAACAAAACATATCTGCAGGTGAACACTTTTAATCCCATTCAGATTTGGCCTTTAATGCCAGTAAAACCATTAATCTCGGCCATTTATTTCAAAAGAGATATCCTCTGCCTCCCTGGACTTCAGATGGTCAATTCAGAGTGTCCTTTTAACCACAAACTGCTATTTATCTGATGGTATTGCTAGTGTCTAGTTTGCCAAAAAGTTTAGCTGAATCTCATGGTTGTGGTGTCTTCTAAATTATTAAGGTGATTCATCTCCTTTTCAAAGCAAAAAGAATGTAAGAAAAAGTGACAATTTCAGAGTGATTAGGAAGTTGTGGTTGCTTTTGCGAGGGGAGAACCCCTAAATTTAATTTAAAAGAAAAAGGATATTGTGGATGGAGGGGTGACATTAGGACACACCTGGGTGTGACCTGATGTGGAGCATCCCCCTTGAAAAGTGAAGTACAAGCTAAATTCACCTCCTTCTATAATGCACTGCTTAGCCTCCTGGATCACTTCTTCCTTCACCCGGAAATCTTTAGCATATTTTAGGAAAAGAGATGGATATTTTACCTGCCAAACTGAAAAGCTGAGACAAACTTTTTTAGGTATTTAGATCTCTTTCTTCATATAAAACTTCCCCTAAAAGCTATGCCTGTACGTTAAACTCTCCAGAAACAGGTCACTATTTTATTGAGTTTAACATTTGCTTTCTTCGCATTTTAACTGAACATTGAGAATATTAAGTTAATATTTTTAGTGCTTCTTTTCTCAGTGGCCTTTTGTACAATTTTCCATAGGGCATTCCTCTCTCTCCAAATTAAAATATTGATCTTGCTAAATGAGAGGATTTGGAATTCCTTGGTGCTACACATTTATTTGGGCAGTTGCTCTGAAAAGTTTCGGACACCCAACAAGCCATCACAGTAAAGTGCAAAAATCAGCACAGTAAACATAACCTGACTGTGCTTGCAGCTACTGGTCTAGATAATCTTGGTGTACTTTCTGGGAGGGTTTCTCTTTTGTTGTTTGCTTTCCTCCATGGCCTGATGGATTATATACTTTTTTATGATCATAAAATAAGCTTCTAAGAAGGTTTCTATCTTGACTATCTGCAGGGTTTAATCTGTTTTTCTACATTGCATTTCCAGATTTATTTGGCTCTCCCCATTGCATGATTCAGGCAGAAAAACAGCTGCTCTGCTTTGCTCCCAAGTGCTGCAGGTATGTCTCAGTCCGACAAATGACTTCAGTAAAATGATAATGAAAGTTGGCACTGCTTTGGATACTGGTTGATGAGAAAAGAAAAATGCTGTAAAACTTATTCACATGAATCTGCTTTTCACCAGAGTTGTTACAATGAATATTCAGGAATAATTGTAAAATTAGGTGTTACTAGTGTCGGCAGAACGCCTGCTAGTCTCTCGGATCTGCCTTCATTTCAATAATGAATGGGGCGATCTTTTAATGAAAAGCAGAATAAAAGTAAGCAAACAATACTGATTCTTTCCTCCTTCCAACGGAACAAAATGGGCATCACTCGAGATTCTGGAGTACATTAACCATTGAAATACTGCTGTGCTAAAGAGTGCTAAGGCAACTAATCGGTCATTAGCACAAAAACACTGCCCCCTACTGCAAGTTGTTTTTTTCTTCTGCCATTGCTTTAGAACTGGATGCCGCTTTTCACAAGGCAACTATTAATACAGTTTTAAAAACAAGTCCTTAGTGTACATTTATGTGCTGTTTACAAAATTGCACCTACATGCAGACCTTAGCTTTTCACATTTTTCTTTTTACTGGGTTTGGTTTTGAAACCAGAAGGCCACGAAACTGCATAAATCAAAATCAAAACAGTAGTCTGCATAAAGCACTTGGTCTGTTCTGAAAAATACATCTCGCTGCACACTCAGTATTGTAGGTGCTGCAGACCAAGAGCTTCTGCCTGGGCTCCAACAGGGGTGTTCACCAGAAGGCAGGGATAACGGAGGGCTTTCCCACGGAAAACGTGCCATGCTGAAAAAGAAGCCATTTCTTCCTGTGTCATTTCTTGCCTACAAGGCTGGGGCTTGTTGTGCAGTAATGGGGCTCACATACAGCAAGGAGCTCAAAAGAGATGGCTACAGTAACTGCTCATACTCACGTTCCATCTATTTTCTCCACTCCATGGTAAAAGCTGATGCTGTCTGACGTGTTCCTCAGGTTAAAACACTTCTCATCAATAAAATGGGCTGAGTTTTTGTCACAAAGATCTTGCTCTAGGGCATGCTGCACATCTCTGTTGATACTGTGAAGAACAAAGTCTTACCTTAAAATGAACCAATTTTTCTATTTTTGTGTAAAACAGCTAATTCCTTCCATTCTGCTTCCTCCAACACATGATTCTATAGTCTGCTGGCATTTACACTGCGGCAAGAAAACGCTCTGCCCCATTATTTAGCTAGAGGGAGCTGCTATACCATTTACATCTACTCAGCTTAAAGCCCCTGGTGAGTGTTCTCCAAAGGCCTTTATTTAACTCACTGCATTTAATGGATTAATTTAATTTTGAGGATAGATAGATGAGCAAAGGGGTGAAAAGCAGATTGTTCTGTGCCATGAAGGAAAGCCTCAGAGCGAAGGGGACCTTCCTGCCAGCAAAGCTGCAAGACAGAACACTAAGAACAGAGTTCAGTTTTCCCAGGTTTCCAGACCACGGGGAAATGTCATTTAGAGTAACTCTAGTATTCATTACTAGAAAGAAGGTCTGCTTAAGTATTTCTGCTCATCTGGTCTATTAGGAGGAAAACATATTGCTCCATCTCTGCTTCCCATGAGGAATTTTTGGAGTAACTTGTTTTCCTTTGGCTCTTCCAAAGAGGGAGGAAGCCTGACATAGCTGCTTCACTGTAATGGGAGTAATATGGATGAAGAAAGAATCAAAATTCTGCTTTCCAATGCATTAAGGAGACTGAAAACGTTCACTTTTTCTGGAAATATTGCTGGTTTTGTGAGGTGCCTGTCAGCTGGCGTTAGTACCAGTCTGCCTGATGTGGTCACAGAACTGAATCAAAGGTAGCTCGAAATCTCAGACAAAGGAGTTAGACAAAATCCAGGGTGCCTAGTTTTTATCTGATCTTATGCTCAGACACACACAATAGTGGGATGAGCTCCAGAAATGCATCTAACCTGACTCATATGAGAGGGCTATTAATCAGGACAATCATTCACAAAACCTGCCTCATGCCATTTTCACACATAAGCTAACAATCAGGTGCTGCTGTTGCTGTTTTACCTTCCTGATACCTGAACACTCGTGCTGTCTCTTTTGAGATTTTTTTGTCATGTCATGTTGTATAAAAATGACTTTTTCATCTGTGTCTGTTCGAGAAGAGACTATGGAGTTTTACCCAATTAAATGTTAATACTGCTGTATAATTTGCTCTTATCGGGATATTTGCATATTGTCAAAGAAATAAATTCCAAAGCCTCCCATAACAGGCATAAAAATAATTTAGATTCATTCAATAACTCCACTGTTAAAAAAATACCTTATGATGTGCTTAGATGCTAGTTTATCAGTATAATTTTCCTTTAAATCCAAATTTGCATATAAAAAAGATATTCAGTTTCTTCTGAACTTCTCTGCGGTGTGACAGACAGCAACATTGACATAATTTAGCTATAATATTGTTGTCTCTCATTTTAATGAAAGATTTCAGCTTAAGAATGACTTTTAAAATTAAGTCAGTGATTTTTGGTAACTCCAGCTGCAATCACATCTACCTTATGCCATTTGAGAGCCTGCTGCTCCCTTGCTCCATCGCACGGCAGGTCTGTTCTTAGCCCTCTCCAGAACAGACCTCCACAGAATGGTATGTCTTGTGACACTAGTTGTCATTTATTAATCAGGTGCTTATATAATATTCTCTTGTTGGTGAGAACTAGAAGTGGAGGGCAATGACAAAGTAAGTCTCTTACTTCACCTTTGCTATTTTCAAACTGTCATTAGATACCATCCAGTTTTCCTCTCTGAAAAACAGAATGTAAAGGTAAATTCTTACCTCAACTGTTGATTGATTCTTTCTGCAAGTTTTCTCATTCTTGCTTGCCAATCCTTGAGTAGATCGACCTCCTATAGTGGAAAATACCCTGCTGTCAGTGCTTTCATTATACTTCATTTGTTTTAGGGGATTTATACTTTTGTATTCTTCATAATCCAGATGTTGTGACCATCTCCCATRTCTCTGATGTGGATCAAGAGAGGATGTGTTTTGGGCCCTTGCTTCCTTTGTGCTACAAAACTGTGTCTCTACATGGTTTTTGCATGACTTTTTMTATTATATCAAGCATGTTTGTATATTTTAATAATTTAATAATTTTCACCTTTAGCATAAAGTTARCCTCTTTATGTACCATCTAGGGTGCATAAAGTCATATATGGTCATATATGAGTGAATTCCAAAACTGTGAATAAACTTTCTAATAATTTGGAAGTCATTAACAGACCGCAAATTTAAAAAGCAAAGCTCARTCTCCTGGCTTGTGCAGTGTGTGTAGGAGTGAGAGCAACTTCAGAAGACCCTCTCCTGATCCTWCAGAATGAGGCTTGACTGTCCTTTGCAGCTGTCTCACTTGGGAGATGGGGCAAATAGTTCTCATTTTTCATTTTGAACAATTTTTTTTTCTTCTGTTCATGCGGAAGAGTAGTCAGTRTTTTAGCCTCAATTCTCTTCCTGAATGCTTAGGATAAGGATGTATATTAGCTCCTTGGTGCTTCATGAAAAACTCTCAAACTGCAAGTTGCAGATTATAGGCGCTGAACAAACACCCTGATTATTTAAGTGGCCAAGACATTTTTCTGCCATCTTCTAATCCATAATCTAATCCCTTGACGTAATGGCAAAATGACAGATGTATATATGTATATTATTTTTAATGTAAATGATTTARCAATCACCTATTAACCATATCACTTTGTTTAGTAAGATTATACATATTGAAAGACAGTAGGCCAGCCAGACTTCTGAAATTTTATGCACCACGGGGCAGAAAACAATCTTGATAAATATTTCTGCATTGTTTCTAGGCTCAGGGAAGGCAGAACTGGACAAGGCCTCCCAAGGGTGCTTGCCACTTCCTCTTGMCTTCTCCTGCWGTTTGAGGAGCAAACTCAGAGCTCRGGTCCTACCTTTATGAGGCACTTTTCCACATCATCATGGACGAGGTCGATACCCATGCGCTTCTCCCGGTTGTACAGGCACTCCAGGGCAGTCTGCAAGCAAACCAAGGACACTGGAAGTTGCCTCAGTGCTGTGAGCTGAGCTGATGCTTCGAGTTTCGCTGAAGGGGCCACTGGCAAGTTAAGTAACGGTCACCTACGGAGGGTGAATGTGAGAGGAGGTGGCTGCCTTGCACACAGCTTGTCAGTGGCTCATCCCTACCTGCTCAAATGTACTTCTAAGGAACAGCTGCCATCTGAATAGCTGTGTATTAGTGTGCAGCAGTCCCCGTGCCTCAACGTCAGTGCAGGAGGGCTGCAGATCAAAACCCTTGTGTGTTTACCATGTTGCTTAAACATCACACAGTGCCTTAATCTCACGCCCCTCACCTCCCAGTGCTGAAGCTTGAAACCATAAAGCCTGTGTAAGGGGATGACTGCACAGCTACAGTTAGTGGACACAAACTCAACTAACAGGCCTCAGCAGTTACCTCTACCCATTCCCCACGTTGCTCCTGCTAACCAACCTTCAGCGGTCCTTGCATCTCATCCGCAGCGCATTCAAGTCGCTTCTTTGCCATCTCCAGGGCCTGGCTCTCGGTGAGCAGATAGTCCAGCTCATAGACCAGCTCAGCTCTCCAGAAATCCAGGCTGGAGAGCCTCTGTCCCAGGTTTCTCCTGCTACCTTCCTGCATCTGGTAGGTGAGCTGGTCCTTGTCCTGCATCAGTCGCATGGAGTCGCTGTTCAGTTTGCCAGCCCAGCGCCTGGAGGCTTCAGAGCCCGTCAGCTGCGCCGCGTTTGCCCGGTGCCAGTCGTGAGGGCTGTAGCGGGCGTGCAGGGCCGAGCGCAGCGAGGGCAGCACCGTGGGCGGCCGCCTCGCGGCACCGAGGTGCTCGTCGGCGCCTGGTGGCATCGCGGGCTCCTTGTGGAAGAGGCTGGGCCTCCAGGAGCTGAGGTAGCGGTAGCCGGGCAGGTAGTAGGACTGGTAGCTGTCCTGGGTGGTGCTGGTGGGAGCTGGGTCGGGGAAGAGGCAGCTCCTCCTCGGGCCGCAGTAGCTGGCGGTCTGGGTGGTGCCCAGGAACTCCATGCTCGTGCAGCCGCCCCAGCGCGGGAGCCAGGGCGCTACGGCCTCTCCGGCCCCGCGGCGCCCGGCTCTGTGACACAGCCCCGTGTCACAGAGGCAGCGGGTTCCGGGAATCTTCCACAAAATAACTGTTTGGGATGGGGTATTTCCCTGGCCTGAGAAAGGGTCCTTGGATCAGGGCTGGTGGTCCTGGGTTTCCGCCATCTTCTCTTCTCTGGATACGGGACTGTTTAACTTATTCTTCAGTTTGAGCAAATAAAAAATACATGTTTGTGTATGCAATACTTTACAGTCTATCTTGGMAAGCTAGTGTAATGTTATGACCTATAGCTAAAAAAAAAGTAATTTTAAATGTTATTATAAATGAATTTATCTTGTCATGATGATTCAAATATATAAGAAGCTAGGTGCTAATGTAGGAACAGGAGGTGCAGGCAGGAGAACCACCCTGATCCRACAGACCATGGACCGAACTGTGTGAACTGACAAACACGCTGATCCCCGCGGCCGCCCCAGCGGGTCATGGCACATTGCACCAAACACCCTTGTGAGAAGGTCCTGCTGTCTCAGGAGGAAGAGACRGGCTTGGTCTTTTGGGTGCTTTTTGTGGGAAATGCTCTAAATGCTCCCAGAAATGGAGGAAATGATCTGTTGACTCCGCAGGAAAAATATTTGACCATGTATCTCATTTTCAYATATGAAAAGTCCTGCAGGCATTGACGAATCTAATCCATATGGCTGAAAGGAAGCACRGAGCAAGAACTGCACTGAATTTTTCTCTAAAATAGAGCCTTTTTTGACATATGGAAGGTGCAGTATAAACTTATTGGATATGCCCTTAGAGCTGTTTCCTTCTACACCWGACTGAATTTCTGAATTCACAGAAATACTATCTGTAGTAATTTTTGTTTCATTATTTTACCACACAGGCATAGTCACACAGCAATAACTTCAGAAATTCTGCAGCTATCAAGGGGCGATGAGCATTCCCCCAAAATGAATATACTTGAAACTGAGATTATGTAGTAGGTTATTATTAATGGCCCAAAATGAAGATGCTGGGGTTCTCAGTATTGCTAGGGCAGGCAGTGTTACTAGCACACATCAAACACACAATTTCTCATCAACGAGGCTGTCAGTTGATGCTGGGTGACGTGTAACAGCCACCACTGCTCCAACTTAAATCAGATGTTCTGATTTTACGCCCGGAGGAGTGGGCAAGGCCGCGCTGTGGAACGGCCCTGGGGGACGATGGCCACAAGGCGCAGTGCAAGGAGCAGGCTGTACCACAGGGTAGTGCCCAATTCACGGCAATCAGCATGGCGCTGAAGGAAACACCCCCGCACCGCCGCTAACAGGGCCGCGGCACCTAACGCCGCGACAGCCGCCCCCGAGGCGCGCGGCCCGCCCGGGGGCTGACGAGAAACGCGCTGCCCCACGCGCGCCGCCCGCCCCGCGCGGGAGCCCAACGGCCGCCCCGCCCGCCCAACGGCCGCTTCCGTAACGGCCGCCCCGCTCAACGGCCGCCCCGCCCGCCGGCGCATGCGCGTGACGCCCGCCGCCGCTCGTGGCGGTGACGCGGGCGCCATGGCGGAGGTGGCGGCGAGCCCGCGGCCGGAGGGTGAGGGCTCTGCCCGCGGCCGGGCTCTGCCCCGCGCTGCTCCCGCTGCCGCGCTCCAGCTCTGCCTCCCTTGCAGACTGCCCCGGCACCGGCAGCGCCCAGGCGGGCAGCGCCGCCGCCTGCCAGGGATGTCCCAACCAGCGGCTGTGCGCGGCCGGCGCCGCGCCGGACCCGGGTGAGGGCGGCCCCGAGGGGCCGGGGGGCGGGCGGCGCCGCGGGCGGGCGGACGGGCGCTCACGGTGCTCCCCGCAGCGGAGGCGGCGGAGCTGCGCGCGCGGCTGCGCTCCGTGAAGCACACGGTGCTCGTGCTCTCCGGCAAGGGCGGCGTGGGCAAGAGCACGTTCAGCGCGCTGCTGGCGCGCGGCCTCGCGGCGCGCGACGACACGCAGGTGCGGGGGCGCGGGCGGGCCGGGACGGCACCGGCACCGGCAGCGGGACCGGCCCCGGGACCGGCAGCGGGTAGCGGCGCTCGCCGCCCGCCCGCGCGGCTGGTCGCGCCGGGCCGTGCGAGGGCGCTCCGCGGTGTCGCCCCTGCAGGTGGCCCTGCTCGACATCGACATCTGCGGGCCGTCCGTGCCCAGGATGATGGGCCTCGAGGGCGAGCAGGTGGGTGGCTGCGGCTCGAGGCGGCCGGGCGACCYGCAGAAGCGGCTGAGGCCGTTCATTGCCCGTCGCGATTTTCCTTCTCAGTGACACAGAGACTGAGAATCGCGCTTGCATATTCATCTGGGCAGATTCCACTATTCACTTTTAACAGAGCTCCGGCTGCTGCGTAGCTTTTCATTCCGCTGTTTTCATAAAGCYTAGTGAAGTATTGCACCTGTAGTATAGATCCTCACTGTTTTTGACTTGCATCGCTCACATCTTACAGAACATCCGGGTTTATTTCTGATTTATTCCATGTGTTGCCTCAATTTTCAGGTTCATCAGAGTGGCTCTGGATGGTCCCCTGTGGTAAGTTATTTTTACAAAGAGAGGGTTATGGGCTGGGGACTGTTTGCAAAGTGGTGGAGGAAGCAGGGAGCAACTCTGTCACTTCTTTATCCAGTGACAAAAACGTCCATATTCTATGCAGCCTGGCTGCAGGGCATAGAAATCAGAGATTTGAGTTGCTTCTGTTAATACTAGCACTGCATTTTCAATATAATTTTATTATTTTAAATATATTTCCTGTTCTTACTATACCTTGCTAGTATGGGCAATCAATAGTGATTATTTGATTTCATTATTTTGAGTAAGTTGCCCTTTCAGTGACAGAAGGATAGTGTCTTAAACACAACTAGGYAAAAAGAAAAAAAAGTTAATCTGTGGAAAACACAGGGGAAATATCAGGTAGTTAACAGAATTTTGTAGATTTTGTAGTTAACAGAAAACTTCCTAAAGATAACTCTAAGATTTAAATTCTCTCTTAGTAYGTTGAAGAAAACTTAGGGGTCATGTCAGTGGGATTCCTGCTCAGTAGCCCTGATGACGCTGTCATCTGGAGAGGACCGAAAAAAAATGGTAGGTGTCTCACGTGTTCACTAATAATTGCTCTGCTAAAAAGGTGAAATATCAGTTGATGTGTTTAACTAATGTAAAACTCAGAGTAAGCAACGGGAAAGGCCGAGAGAAGAGCCCGGTGGCACCAGAAGTTAATGCTTTGAGTTTGCAGTTTGAAGAACCTTTTAGTTTCATAGAATGCATATGTTCAACTAGAGAAAATAAGGGCTTCAGTCACTCTGTAGTCACTTTGTTTTTAAGTGACATTTCATGTTGCCTTTTTTCCTCTTTTAAAACAGTAATTCATGGAAATATAATATGCCAAATTATTGAAAAACTGTAAAATGCCTTATAGCGGGGTAAAAACAGAGGAAAACTCGAATAAGATGTGCTTAAATTTAGTCAAACTGCAGTAATAGAAAAYATAGCATATGCGTAGCTGCATTTCTGCACTTTGCGTTATTGTAGTCTGTTAAATTAAGAAACATATTTTCAAAGAAGASGAAGCTTTTTTAAATCATAAATCTTAAAGTGAGAGGTTTTTGTGATGTTCATACTATGTACAGCACTATGTAGTTCTGTGGACAGAACTATTGCTTCAAGGATTTTGTCTTCCTGCTGTGCATAAAAGTAACTTGGAACCTGTAACGAACTAGAAGTAGTGGAGTCGGTTGCTGAATGGACTTAGGAGATGGATTTTTTTCCAGTCACTTGTATCAAATGGACGAAACAAGCATTTTTGTACTTAAGCTGACAGTAGTCAGAAGGAACTGCATACTTAGACTTTTAAAGTTTCAAGTGTGTGTGTGTATGGATTTTCCTGATGCGTATTTTCCTGCTTCCTTTTAGGGCTGATCAAACAATTTCTCCGTGATGTGGACTGGGGGGAGGTCGACTACCTCATCATAGACACGCCGCCCGGCACGTCGGATGAGCACCTATCTATTGTGCAGTACCTCAGCGCAGCACACGTGGATGGTGCTGTTATAATCACCACCCCACAGGTGAGGGAAAGGCTGTTTCTTCAGCATAGCTTACTGCCTGCAAACCACAGAGCAGTTCACAATGAAGAACTGTCATAAAGTGAAATGAAGGAAACGTCACTTCCCTCCTCAAGGGTAGAGCTGACATTGCTGCAGATTTATTTTTTAATCACCAACATTTAAATGTTCAGAGCTTGGGAAAGCTTTGAAATGAAGGAAACTTCATTTCCCTCCTCAAGGTRGAGTTGACATTGCTGCAGATTTGTTGTTTAATCACGAACATTTAAATGTTCAGTAGTTAGGAAAGCTTTGGATTTGAGTCATGAGATGTGTGCTGTTTGACAGCGTGTAAAATAGCCTCTTGCCTCAAGACAGTAATACTAGTCCTTTGCTTAAATTGTTCCGAGAAGAGACAGCTTTAGGCAGAAAACTTATGTATCAAGGAAAGCCTGACTTGCAAGCAGACAATAGACAAATCGGTAATGTGCATTTTATGAAAAGAAAGATCAGCCCCTGTGCAAATGAAATGTAAAATTTATCTAATTCAAACACAGATTTAACGTCTCGTTTGGAAAGGAGCTGGAGGTTAAACTAGTGAAAGATGCTTAGTATTTCTGAGAACAGACGAAAACAAAACRCAAAGCATGTGAAGTGGTTAGGGTAATGCAAGATGGGTGATGGGAGAAGGAGAAGCAAATARGACAACTGAAGGAGATCAGGCATATGTGAGAAAAAAATAAGGAAATGGTAAGTTATTCTAAATTTTAATTGGAGAAGAAATAGCACATGTAAATAAGCCTGGTGGTTCTTGTCTTTCTGTGCTCTGTGAAGCATGTGAAGGGTCTTACATTTTCAGTGAACAGTAAAAAGCTCTATTTAAAGAACTAAAGATGCAAGGTTAATGTAAGGGTCAACTGTAAATATGGCTGAATCTCTACCAGAATAAAGTCCAATTTCAAAATAGAGCCATCTTGAGTGAAGGTCATAGCTGTTTTATCTGTTCATTGCTAGTCATAACTTTCTGACAGAGTACCTAATAAACTTCATTATAAACTTCCTTTGAAGTAGATCTAAGGATATACTCTAGTAKGTTCCATTTATAGACCGTTAAAATAATACATTTTTTGTGTCATTTGTAGGAAGTATCACTTCAGGATGTTCGGAAGGAGATTAACTTCTGTCGTAAAGTGAAATTGCCGATCATAGGTGTTGTTGAAAATATGAGTGGCTTTATATGTCCAAAGTGTAAGGTAAGGTGGTCTGTATCTTGCAATTTTTTATTTTTTTTTAATTGTGATGTTGCCTATATAAAACACTGCTCCTAAAATGTCTGTTCTCAGAAATGTTTTTTGTTAACTGTGATTTTCATGTTATCACAGAATGAATCCCAGATCTTTCCCCCAACTACTGGAGGTGCAGAAAAGATGTGCCAGAATTTAAATATTTCCCTCCTGGGTAAAGTGCCTCTAGATCCACAAATAGGTAATGTTTCAAATAGACTGCAATACAGTAGCAAGCCATGCCTACTGTCATCTCAGTTAYAGTAAGAAGTTGTGCCTACTATAAACTTAGTTACAGTGCTCTTAGTAATGTAGTTACTGGAAGATCCAGACATGGACACTGATACATTAATCTCTTTGGTAAATATCCACCTTTACATATAACTTTTTTTATGACAAGCCCTGTCACAGATTGATTAAACTTGATTAAAGAAAATAAAAGTGAGAAAAGCGGCAATTTCCCTAAACTGATATTTAATCATGGTATGTCAGCTGTGTAATTGTCTTCTAAATACATCTTMTATTTTTGTATGATCACATGACAGTGCAGAGTAAAATCACAACACTGCTGGTATGGCATCTTGCAAACATTAAGCTTTAAAAGTAGTATTTTTTGTTTTACCAAGTTGCTTACAAGSACTGTCTGAATTCCCTTGTGGATAAGGGGTAGCTAGGGAAGAGGAACCTTTTTTTTATTTATTTTTTTTAATTTTTTGCAGTTAATACTTTAATGTTGTCAAGAAACAGGATGAGTACTTGGAAAAGAATCTTTTGCTACCAGTATCTAGAAAACTACAAGATCTGTAGCTCTAATTATATTGTTAATGGAAGGATGTCTTCAGGTGAATAGAAGCAGTGTCTGTTTGGGGTGGGACAACTGGGATAAAAATAAAATCAAAGCCATCTCATCCGTTTTATTGCTTTGTTTTCATAAAGTTTTTCTTTGTCCTTCAAGGAAAAAGCTGTGATAAAGGCCAGTCTTTCCTGGCTGAAGTACCTGAATCTCCAGCTACATTATCTTACCGAAGTATAATTCAAAGTAAGTCTGAAAATCACTGTGTGACTAGACCTCTCGGTRGGGAGCCCCTACCTTCTACAGTGCATGACGGTGCTAAACAGAATCACTTGATTCTGCCACCAGAAAGGCTGTGCGCTGTGCAGAGCAGTTAGGAAACCACCGTGTGCAACTACCATATTTACTTGTTGTGGGAGTCAGTTATTGCAGGGTTAGTTCCATGCTTGACTTAAATCAGCGGCTTTAAGAAAAGATATGGGTATTTCTGCTTTCACAGAGAACTTCGACAACTCTGGTGGAGGTCTGTTACAGTCTATATATTTTACTGTAAATAAATAGACTAATTATTGCTTCTACTTCTGATAGTAATGACAAAGAAGACATACAGGAAGTACGTACAGAGCAGATGATGGGCAGGCTTTATAATGAACACATGGGAAATTTTGAAAAACAATTTGGCAGTGATAAAGACACGATTTGCCATATTTGTGCTAATAAGGGACAGACTGATGCAGCAAAAAACAATCATGTGTGACTGAAATACTAATTTTTCCCCTGTCTTTGCAGGGATCCAGGAATACTGTGAGCTACAGCATTCTCAAGAAGAAAAGATTATCTAATCAATGAATGGAATAAAAATTTTGTTCACATCAATTACAGAAATGTAACTTATGCCTTGAAATAATAGAAGTATATCATTTTGTATATTGCAAATATATTCCTAATATTCTTAAGAATTTTATTGCAAATAAATTCTTCATATTAATGTTCTTGCCTTAGTTTTTTTCCATAGTACTTACATAGTGCAGGTTGACAGAAAACTTGTGGGAGCCTTTGTCTGCATTACAAGGATGCACTTTGCATCCAGTGACATGATACTAATACTGAATATAAGGTTGTTTTCTGAAGATGTATACCCAAGGCTTTATTCATGAACTTAAATATGAAATACATTTCACTGATACCGGGCCATTATATCTCATGTAGCTAATTTACATGTGTATATAAACTTAACTGACTCACTAATTCAATAGTAGGTTTTTTTTCTCCTGCCTTCTTCACTAACATGAATTGCACTGTCCTCTCAATATGTTCATTGAGTATCTCTTCCTTTCAGTGGAAAATAACTATATTCAGAATGGAATTTTCAGTATGGTTTTGTCCCTTTTTTTTAATTGGTATCACTTTTAAAAAAAAATCCTACTAGAGTTAAGGCAACTTGTGTGCTGATACAGTATTTATTACAGGTGTCAGAATAAGATTAGCTTATTTTAATAAAGGTAACTGTGTCTGCTTCATAAAACAAGCACTCTGTGAACTGCTGCCTGATTTCACAGTTTCTACTAGATTTTAAGCCCAAACATTTAAACAGTGAATGGTTGGTATCTTATGTGACCAAGAGGCTTTTTGTGATTGTAATTCCACTTACTATTGAGAAATCAGTATTGTGCATGATAAGGAAACCGATGTTATTTATTCCATTTTGAAATTTAGACAAATGAGCATGTCTTTGACTTCATCCTAGGTCTCAGGATAATCCAAGTTTCACACGAATTTACAGATGTATTTGCAGATGTATTTGAGTGTGCAGCCCACCAAGAGAGTCCCACAAGGACCGTTTCTTTGAGGATCAGGCTAGGCAGGCAAGAAAYATATCCAAAGTTAAGAGCTAATAGAACCCGGAGAGATTCAAAACCAACAGCGCACAGCAGGGCACTATGGTATTTTATGGGCTGTGACAAGCCAGGTTAGTACTTGGAACCATCTGCTGCGACCAAAGAAGTTGTTCTGCTGATGGTTTTTTGTCCCTCTAATTTACAGTGGATGTCCCCGTATAAATTAGCAGTTTGAAGGGAGATTCCAGCTATAACGAGAGCCTATGGACAAACAAAAGTTTCGCTTGGACCATTACAGTGCTCTATATAAATTGTRTATACATCTGGACACTTGTATATAACTGCCATGAGTGAAATATTCCTCAACTGTAAATGAAAGCTGTGTAGTCACACTACATAAACATGAGTCTCTTCCTACAGGACTCACCTGAAATTCCTCTTTCATTTAATAATAAAATGTAAGCTTTGTGGTTAATATATTATACTGCAGCATGGTGCAAGATACTTGCTTTTGATCTTTCCATGTTTTTTAAAGAAATCATACAGCATTCTGATCTAGCTTCTAAACATGATAYTGAATTTGACAAAATGAATGGTAATTATTCAACTGTTAGAACAGTTTACAGGGGAAAACCCGAACATTTCAGAGAAACAAAGCATTTTAGGATTATCCTGGGGTAAAGCTCTTTTATTATTTGCAAATAGGTGTAATGGTTTTCTTTCATGGAGCACAAAATGAATTCAGCTATATTTACTGTATTTATAAGTCAAGCTTTTTAAGCACTATGACAGTGGTTCTTTCAAAAGGGAGTGGTACCAGAAATCTAAAATTTGTATCTCTATAGGTAAGAGCAAATAACATTTAAGTACCAGGGAAATGTGAAACTTTGAAAACAGTACCACTATTTTGTTTATTTTTTCCCTCCCATCAAATAGTTTATTTTGAATGAAACAAAAAAGTTGGGAAAAAGTGAGTTACTACAGTTAAAAATGAGGCTTCAAATGAAGGGAATAGGAAAGATGCTCTACTTGAATGGCAATAAAAAGTTGAAATCTGGTAACCTAGTAGAAGTGGGGCTAAAACTTAKAAATCAATTGCAGAGTGCTGAGTTTGCAGAAAATTCCTTATGACTTGAATCTTGAAGCTGAGTTGTTTTAAYGTTGGATTTTGGTTCAAAGGCTGTTGAAAAATTAACAAATCAGAGTTTTTCCTCCGCTGTCCCCTGTCATTCATATTCACCCCCCAGGCCTACCAGCCGTTTCAGCTTCAAGGAAAACAAGGTGCTGAAGAAAAACACTGTCCGAATAACTGGGCATATAATGAGACCAAGCCAAAAGTTTCGAGCTTCAACTTCAGTTGAGGCAGCTACTGTAGCTCCCTAGAAAGAAAATTATTAAAGATTTTAGCCAGAAAGACAAAACCACCAATAAATAACAAATCAGCAAAGGAGGAGGAATGGACAAACTCCCTTTTCCCCCCTAGATTTCACTTAGTATTCGACACACACGGTGCTCTCTGTGTACTACAGAGAGAGCAAAAGCCTCAAGGCAGCTTGCCAAAAGCCCTGGCTGACACCTGCTAACACCACCGCGATGTCCTCATCTACAGTGAGAGGTTATTGGTAGTTCCTAACGTTTCGGAGAAACTAAGGAAAGAGAATTATTGGGAAGGTTCTGATCTTTCCTACAGGATCAGAAATTTGTCCATCCGCTGCGTATTAGACACACTACCACATCCAACTTGGAAACATGCTTAATTATTTTTAATTTGCCCCAAAAGATCCCTTAATTAAAACCTATTTTTTTRCATACACTTTAAACCAACGACACTGCAGAGACCCAGATCATAATGATGTGATTCTATGCCCTCATAGTTATAGAAAAAAAAGACATTCTCACTCCATAAAAGGATTTACTCTCCTTTATYCAGAATCACCTATAAATTATTCTGTAGTGATGTTGCATTAATGATAAATATTTGGGGCAGGGGGGGTCAATAAGCACAAGAACTCTGCACCTGAAAGGCCTAATTAACTTGATGARTGAGATTACAAAAGGCTGTGGTAAAATTAAGAGAAGAGGAAGGTAGGGGGAGCTGTGTCGCTCAGAGAAGGAGGGATGGTGCCTCTGGCACTGCTCAAAAGGAACCAGGGTGTCTGGGTGAAGCTCCGTCATTGCAGTCGCAGACCAGGAATCAGCAATTTATTGCAGAAGTGAGTGGGGTAATTTTCTAAGCAAATTCATCCTATAAAGAGGTCTGAAAAAGGCTTTTGGAGGACTGATAGGGAGGAATGCTGAATACTGTGTCTTGCTGTACTAGAATATATTYCCTAGATAATCCATGACAAAAATGCAGTTTATTCTATGGATAAGTTATTCTTTATAATGCAGTGCTTCTTATGTTAAACTACTTTTCCTCCAGACTTTCTAGAAGGCTTAAGTCTGTACAGGTAAGTCAGCTTTGTGCTTTGGGGCTAGACCTGCCACATACGAACTAGGTGATGAACTTGCTCAGCTCCTAACTTGGAAGTTCGGAGGTYGCTTTACAAAAGCTGTAACTGCAGGTGCATGGAAGCCCTTGCTTCCTGTCTCCACAGGCCTAAGAAACCTGGGAGGTCTCCTGGTTGCTTTATCCTCCTGCAGACCTTGCTGTGCTTCCCCTGAGGGGCTGCTTGGCTCGCAGGGAGAGGCTGGTGTTGGGGAGGCTCCTGGCACTGGGGATGAACTGGGTGCCAGAGGGCACTGTGGACCTGCAGCGTCTCGTGCGGGCCCCCCCACCAGCTGCCCCTGCCCTGCATCAAATCCCTGTCGGGCCAAACAAGAGCTTTGCTCCACCAAGCCCTTCCCAGAAAAAGGGCTAACGAACAAAAGCCAGAGCCATAAGGAAATAAAATAGCGGAACTGCCAGAAATGATTCATAACTGCAGTAACATCCTTATTCTGTTGATGAAAATCTTACGAGGAGAGTTTTGCACTAACAAACTGCAGGGTGTCATAAATCCCACGTGCTTGCAAATCTCTTCATTTTGAATACTTATTTCATTTATATATTCATCAATAAAGTGTATGTAAAGCAGCTSTTAGAAAGGAGCTGCAAAGTCTAGTTACTTTATTTGAGTATCATGTTTACTTTGTGCCTACTTTTATTATTTTTACCTTTTTTGCTTCAAATACCCAGTGGCTTTTCCCAACTTCATCAATCAGGTTCCACCAATGTAAACCAACCAAGAGCCTTCCTGTCACATTCTAGTGACAGAAATGGTTAAGTTATTTGGCTGCAAAATTGTTTGCTGCACTACCATTTTGAGAGATGYGACAAGCACGTCTGAAAAATCAGATGTGCTCTGTGAGCTATGCCAACTTGGACACAACAGTCATCAAGAATGGGTAAGCTAATAGAAATTCAGGGGCCTGTTCTCTTCTAACGTGACAACTGGCACAACGACATTGATTTAGATGGGAGATTATCGGAGGTACCTTTCACAAGTCAGTTAATGGGCAAAATCCTCTCCTTAGCAAATTATCTTGGTAAGAAAGAATATTGAAAGGTAGAAAATTAATTATGAGCAAGGGAGCTGCACTGGAATCGAGGAAAAGGATTAAGGAAGTATTTTTTTTTTTTCTACCTTGTTCATCAGTTTGACTCTGTGTAGGCCAGACCTCATTGCCTGCAGGGCTGGGCTGCACGGGTGCTCTGCAGCTCCTGCACGTAGCTAACCAAGGTGGTAACTAATGTGCCTATGGCTCTTTGCATTAAAATAGGCTTGATGTGTTTTAGAAATTAACAGCTCAATATTTTTTTGACTGCTTTTTTTTTTCTCCTCAGAATGTATTCCCATTTTTTATTTAATGGCACACATGATATTTGCAGAGGTAGTCATTTTTCCAGGGTTGTCTTAGGTTTACCGACTGAAAGTCGAAGGATAGAAGAAGGAGAATAGTGGCAAAACAGGCAACAAAGCTGTTGCCGAGCCAGTCACAGAACAGGTAGGTAACGATAGCGCTCACTCGGAAGAACAGGTGGAAAAAGGTGGCCAGGGGATGCCTGGAAAACAGCGCAGATCACTTAGGCAGTTACAGCATGAGGAGYGTGGGGGCATTTGCTGAAAACATAGCACAAAACTTACAGCATACAACAATTTCCAGGCTATAATGGTATCTCGGTTTGTGGCAGCTACTGCTTTACGTGCTGATTGGTATCTTCATTATCAAAGGGATATTTTCAGTAGTCAAGCTCCAGACTACAGCTTAAAAAACGGACTGTACTGCTCATGTTAAAGCATTCTCAAAAGCAGAACAAAGTCCAGATTCCTCTGGCAGGTTCTCTGGTACTGCATGAAGGGAAGCTAGTGGCTTCGTTCATTACCCTCACCCCAAGTTCATCATCACTGCATGAAAAAAAATCAACAATGCAAGGCATGAGAGAAGTGAGACAGGCCTTGTGCCTTTCATGGGTGTTTGGAAAAGAACAAGAACTCCAAAATTTAAACAATGTGTGTGTGTGTATATATATATTATATATATACACACAGACACCCCTATCTGAGACTGTCAGTGTTGACACTGGAAAGTTAACTCTGTGACCACTTCTTCCTTTTGGAGGAGCGGATTTGGGAAGCTAACAGTTCTTGTGAACAAACGTTTAAGTGTCTTCGGCGCTTGTTTTCCTGAGTTGTTGAAATGCTTCAGTCACCCTCAACCAAGCGCTGGCCATAACAAAAATAAAAGGGAATTTCAGTGGAAGCAGCAACTATACTGACCAGAATAGTGGCCTATACAGAGGGAAAGGGGGGCTGGAGAATCTTGCACAGGGTTAAATTTTCAGGCTAACAATAGAGTCTTAATAATAAGACTCTATTATGTATGAGTTGTGTGAATCCTAAGCGGTTTAAAATGACCATTAACCAAAAGCTATTCCATTTAAGCAATTTCTTCCTGCTGTAGAACTATAGTCAGTGAATGAAGCTCCTTTTCTGAATAAATTAGCTGTTTTTTGTAGTTTGGGAATTGTCTATGTGGAAATATAYGTGTATTTTTTTAAACTCTCTCTGTAAAATAACTTATGGCTCATTGATCAATACTTCTAAAAACACAAATTTGAAAATGAAAATTTAAACCCACTGCTTAGATACGCTGGTTGGGTTTCTGCAGTAGCTAAGTGTTCAGCATGAGCAATTTTTTTTTTTTAATTGGCCTTAGTGAGTATTACTCCTGGCAAAGATAGAGCTATTCAAGCCAAAGCAGGTGGATTCCCAGGTGTTGTCCCACGGGAGGAAAAGGCAGATGCATTCTTACTCACACCACCATTTTTGGAAGACTCTCAGAAAACATGTGGGCATTTATTTTCTTATGCTTTCCTGGATTCAGGACTTAAATGAGGAAATGCAGACAGCTGTGGCTCTGGYGGATTCCAAGCAGCAGATCAGCCTGCGAAAGAAGAACTCGTTGGGCTTCTCTGAGGCACCTTGCTAGAACAGAAAGTGTTTTGAGCAGGAGTTTGAGCAGGGAGGAAGGTCTGTGCAAGACCTGCTGCCAGAGTCGAGCTGTGCCCGGCACCCTGGACGCGCTGGGGAGCCGCGTTCAGCAGAATCCTTGCTTGGTGTAGGGATTCTGGAGGGAAAAGGGGTGTTTTGTGAGCAGGAGCACTAATACGGGTAGGGACAGTCATATTCTGTTGGCTTGGGCAGTTAAACAGCTTGTGTTGAACTGTGCCCATCACCCTGGGCACAAGGGAGCCCTGCCTGCAGTGAGGCTTGTTTCCAGGTCAGACTGTGCTCGCTTCTGTGCCGGGCAAGTGCTGGAAACGCAGCAGATGCTCAACATGAACTAGCTYAAAAGTGTCACTTGCTGTCACGTCCAGGCCTCAAAATACCAACACAGAGCATTATCAGGGCTGTAGACTTGGTATCAAGTCCTCTCCCATTCAATAAATAGAGCCTTACGAGTAATAYGGTGGTTTTTATTGACTTGGTTAACTGCAAGTCAGATGATTTCTCTTTTTCGTTGGCCTAGTGCCCAGCGTTTATACTGGCAGGGATTCAGAGACTCGCCCTTTCTAAACTGCACGAGAATGTTTTGAACAGCTCGGTAGAAGTTGCTCTGATTTATGTATCCAAGGGGAATTTGCAGTTACATATTGTGCTCTTGTAAGTGTTAGAAAATATTGCTAATTCTGGAGTAACTCTTRTGAAGATCTTATTAGACTGCAGGTTTTGATGGTGCTCCAATAGAACTTTTTTTTTAAGAAGGTTGGAYAAATTAAAGCAGGAACTAAAACATGTATTTATTATCTTTCACAAATTAATGGACAATAAAAATAATAATAATTTCTTCCTTTGCCCCAAAGACTAGTTTTATGGAATTTGTTGGCTGCATGTACCTGAACTGTTAAAATCACCAGTTCTACATTAATGGAACAGAAGATGCAACATTTGTTTGATGTAGATTGGAATAATTTCTTTCAGTTGGGTGATCTATTCTCAATGTAGAGCTTAGGTTCCGCCACCAGTACCTGATCAGTCAGAAAAGGCCATCTGAAATGCATGTCAAAGCTGAAGCATTTTGGCCCTAAATATAAATGGAGTTAAAAATATATAAATGGGGATTAAAATAAGTGCAGGTGGTATTGATCCTGCAATGAGTTGCATCTGGAGAGATGAAGAGTAGTTTTCAAGTCTATCAAGACAAGTGTGTAAGGAAATACTATTGCATTGCAACAGGTTTTCTTTCTAAAATGAACAATGCTGTCTATCTGGGCTCTGGTGAGAAAAAAAAATCAAGGAAAAATACCTAATTTCATTCATGACACAAACGAGCCATTAATAAATAGTTTGTTTTATCTGCTGTATCCACTGTATGGCCTTAGGCCTGTAGGAATCATAGAATCATAGAATCATAGAATGCCGAAGGTTGGAAGGGACCTCAGAGGTCATCGAGTCCAACCCCCCTGCTCACGCAGGGTCACCTAGAGCACGTGGCACAGGGCTGCATCCAAGCGGGTTTTAAAGATCTCCAAAGAAGGAGACTCCACAACCTCTCTGGGCAGCCTGTTCCAGTKCTTTGTCACCCKCACAGTGAAGAAATGCTTCCTTAAGTTCCTGTGGAACTTCCGATGCTTCAGTTTGAAGCCATTTCCTCTAGTAGGACCTTTCCTGAGCCCTTGCCTCCTCCGGTGCAGGCATTTAAAAGGCCTGTGCACACTGACGGAAGTATTGGACACCTTTCCTGGCTTGAGCCAGTCCTTTGCTGAGGAAAAGCAYCTGCAAGTATTTGCTGATCTTGTGTAGTTTGTCCTAAATTGGTATCTGCTTTGGGAGGCAATATATTTCTGAGGAAAAAAAAAAGCATAGAATATAGACAAAACACAGAAAATGCAAGTAAGAGAAAGTGCCTGAGCTGGTGATGCAATGAAGGGATTAAACTGCWGTTCTTTTGAGAGGCAGGTTTCTCAATCAGGCAGTTGTATCTGCTTTTATAGCTTTTCTGTTTAATAGTATCGTTCTTTAATTTATTCACCGAATGGTTGAGGTTGGAAGGGACCTCTAGAGATCATTTAGTCCAACCCCCTGCTCCAGCAGGGACACCCAGAGCATGGGACACCTGGTCCCATCCAAGCGGGTTTTGTAGACCTCCAGAGAAGGAGACTCCACAGTCTCCCTGGGCAGCCTGTGCCAGGGCTCTGGCACCCTCACAGKGAAGAAGTTCCTCCTCMCATGGAGATGGAACTGCCCATGTTTCAACTTATGTCCAWTGCCCCTTTTCCTATCACTCTTCACCACTGAGAAGAGTTTGTCCCACTCCTCCCTACATTCTCCCCTCAGGTGCTTGTACATGTTAAGATCCCCTCTCAGACTTATCTTTTCATTTATTATTAATACCTTTTTCCCCTGATTCACTGAGTAGTTTCAGCCCCTGAAAATTCCTGGTACTCAGCCACAGAGGATTTGAAAAGGCAGCTGAGGAATTAAAAATCACAAAATCCTTGCTGCTCCTCTGGACACTGAACCATATAAAACAACAGAGGAGATGAGGGTTGTATTTTAGGTGTTTGGCCCTTGCAATAAGTCACGGAAGGATCGGGTGCCTTGGCCTCAGACCCAGCCCATTGACTGTGTGTTCTTTTCAAGATGCACAAGCTGCTGCTTGGAGGCAATTCCTTCTACCTGCAGTACACTGCTCCGAGCCCCCTGGAAGCAGGAGACCAAGCTCTGTTTATGAAAATGAAAAGTAATGCTCGTGCCTTTCTCCTAGGTGTGACTTATGGGCCTCCCTTTACCAAAGAGTCCGCTGTGTCTGAGAGCAGGCGGCAGTTTCCTCTGCTGCCCGAGAGGCGAAGGACAAATTTCTGCCTCCTGCCTGGGAAGAGGAGGAAGCTTCAGGCTGTGCTGGAGACCCCCACAGCCAGTCCCTGCAGGCTGCTCGGCCTCGCTCCCCAAATAGTGGTTGGGACATTTGTTTCTTCTGTGCATAGTGTGATCCACAGACTGCTTAATCGAAAGTCTATTCATAATCTCCAAATTGGAATATTGAACTAAACCTTGGAAGAAGGGCTAGACCCCATACCTGTGTGTTTTGCAGGGGGTGYTCTAACCATCTGGCTTGTAATCTTCTGTGCAGGGCAGAAGAGCTTCCACAGGAGGGTTTGGACACCCCCCTCGCCAGGACATCCCATTCCCAAGATGGCACTGCAGGGATATGCAAGCATACATTGGGAGCCTCTACAAAGAAGGCTTTGTAATGGTCTSTGTGATCATGAAGTTTTCTGGTTGCAGTTACAAGAAAAAGAGCACACGTTTTGGAATGAAAGTGGTGGTAAKTGCTGGTGTTATTGAAGTGACTATAGATAGAGACACTGCAGCAGACGTATGGATTTTAGAATCATGTGTGTCTAGTATGTATTTGAGTTGATAAAAAAAAAAAAAACAGAACTGCTGCAGGGAAGCCCCTAAAATACACGATTTCTCCAACAGTCACTATAGTGGTTTTGTCCAGTTTTCTCACCTCCATCATTTTGAAACTTGACACAGAGCTGTGGTTTTGCACATCCTTTTCCTTGTCTGTTYGGGTTTGCATTAGTATTCCATTTCCAATTCTGGCTCTATTTTATTTCACTTTAGRGGGAATTACAAATTTTACACAGGCTGTAGTGTAGTGGACTGATTACATGAAGTCCAAGTGGTGATGGCAGAGCATCAGTTTCTCAGCTTTTAAAAATCTATCTTCATTTTCTTTTATTTACTGTGAGCTTTTGGATGAATGACAAGTCTATTTTTCTGATAACAAGGTGACTGTTATGAGCTGTTGGTGATGAGATCTTCATGTTTACGAGATGCTCGCAGACCTATTGAGACCTGGAGGAAGGATGACACTTTCTCACAGATGGCCCTGGAGGGCAGGGAGCAGCTGTGTGGTGCTGCAGCCTCCSAGCTCGGTGTAGTCCTGCACAGAAAGCAGCATCCAGCTACTGCTGGAAACTCTTTGCACTCCATTCACAGCTTCCTGATGGAACAGCTTGTCTTTGAGGTGCGTTTTCCCTGCAGGTGACAGGTGATATATCTTATTCCTAAAGCAAATATGGAATATACCTCTGTATATATAGTGGTGACTTCCATGTCTTGGGAAGTCTTGCAGTTCCTTCCTTGTTAGCCATCATGGGCTTGCTGTTCCTAATGAAACTTTTTGTTGGAAGTCTGCTGAAGGTCCTTACTTCCCTCCCTCCTTTCTCCCTCACGACTACAGCATCTATCACTGGGACCTTCACGTTACCTTAACTGTGATAAAACTCAACAAGATGAAGCTAAAGTGGAAAGTAGGATAGATCTGTAACCCTTCCAGGGAATAAGGCCTTTTCATCTTGGGAATTTTCCCCTCAGGGAACCGATCATTTCTAACATTTGCGGTCAAAAGTGTAGAAAACCACGCTGCTCTTTGCAGAGCAAGGACATGTAGGCAGGGCTGACTGAAAAACTGCTCTGGTTTCTGCTGTGCCTATCGAAGAGGTGCAGTCATGCGCCCCAGGGGCAAATGTCAGGTGACTTTTAAAACAAATGAAATGACTCTTTAAGATGCTAGTAAAAGAGGAAATGCCTTGCTCTGGTAAACTTCAGTTAAAGAGCACCTAGCCATACAGTGGAAACAGAGAATATGTCATGTAATAAAACCAAAMSTTTTTCACCAGATTAGAAGAGGACCTAAAATTGCTTTTGTATCTCCAACTTTTTTCCAGCAAGTCTGCCTGTGTCCTTAGCACTATGACTGTGAGAGCACTGTGAGGATGTGTATTAAATTCTAGAGCTGCTTTTGCCTTGTTTCACACAGAAGGAATGAAAATTGCTGAGCAAGAAAGACCAAAAGGGACCATTCCCTGGTATCTCTTTCCTCTCCTGTACAGTTTGTCAGCACTCTGCAGGCTGAGAGTGGTCCCAGACTTGAGATCCTTTCTGAACATTCCCATGTTCCGCTTTCCCCATCGTTTGTGTAAGGGCAGTGATGAGTCCATCAGAAATTTTAGAGCCCCTCTGCAAGCGACTCTGAGCCCTTCCCAGGTGGATCAAGTGGATTAGGAACAGAATATCTTGACATTAGATCACAGAGAGCCGATGTGCTATTAATAAAATAAAAGAACTGCACGCTTATAAATGAGCAGTGCTCCCATTGAACATCAGCAATACTTTGTTAACTTAATTTCAGTTGCTACATCTTCATTGGTGAAGTCCAGCATGTTCCATAGCACAATCATTCCAGTGCCGGGGAAAGGGATGAATCGCCAGGATGTTGGATTTCATCCTGTAAATATGTTCMTCTCAGTGCAGAGACACATTAGAAAATACTCGATAACTTGTGGTGTTGAAAGTGGCTTTTTTTTGTTTTCATACATCAGCCTTATTTTCCATAGTGTTTTCCAAAGTGTTGTAGCAACCGTGTTTTTATGGCTTGATAATGAATCTGGACTGTAAAAGCTAGACGGGCAAATTTCTGTGGTTGTTAAGCCAACCAAATGTGAGGTCTATGTGTTTTAAGCCTCAGTTTTTACAGGAAACCTAACTAAAGATACAATTGAAATTCAATTGAGTACTTTATAGCAAATAGTCTAATAAAACTAGAAAACAAGGTCATTTTTGCAGGAGTGCCTTCAGAAGAGGAATAATCCCAGGATTTTGCAATGCAGTTGTCTAAGCAATTCTTTTGTTCAGACTGCCTTGCCCATCAGTTTTCAGAGATACTTGCGTGACGTTTGGTGAGATTCTGGGTGATCAGAAAAATTTGAGGCCCTCTTTGCACCTTCTATATTGATAGTTCCCAACGTTTGAGGTCCTAAACTCRCTTACAAATGATGTTCTGGAGAAGCAGGCAATATGAGCAGAGGGTTGTAGTCTGTTATCTTGCCGTGTCTCCCCYGCAGGGCTCATACTCCACTGCTGAGGCTCATCTGAGTGACTGGGGAGCTCTGTGGCAGATGCCTCAGGCGTACTCTGGAAGCAGTGTGTGTTGAAAGACTTGGCTTTAACCCACCATGGAAGTGCTGAGGTGAGGACGCAGGGAAAAGCTGTGACCAGATAGCTCCAGAAATAAGCTCTGAGGAGGAAAAAACCCACAAACTTTGCAATCTAAGTGGCGAGGCTTTTCTATTTTATATTTAAGACATCTTCCATAATATTATACTTTACTTTCCTGCTGTAAATCCATTTTCACAGTAGACATACAAGAAGGTTTAAATTAAGAGCTATAAACTTTGGYAGAATCACTGAGGAATTCTTGTGGATATAGAGCTGTCAAACAGCACGGTATTGACAAGTGATGTCTCTGTTCTAAGATATACCCAGAGTAAATGCCTACAGTCCAGCTGTGAGAAGAGTAACAAAGTTAGGGAAAATGCTGATAAAGCCTTAGTTAGACGTTCATCGTATGCAGCATTGTCCAAGAAATTGCTGCAAAGTCCCTATGGATTTCCATAACTATTRTAGCATAAATGAACTGTATTACTTTGAAATTGTCTTTATCTGAGCTGTTGGCTCTCTCTTCAAGGAGGTCTTCCAATTCTTTTATTCAGGTTGAATAGCCTTGAGAAGTTGTTCAACCTGCAGTATGTCGAAGTCTGATAAGTTCATTTAACAAATTTCCCTTTCCGATTCTAATGACTGAGGCTGGTGTAACCAGCATTAATATCAACATCAGCATTTCACTTCTTTGCTTCCCATAGAAATGTGTGCTTTGAACTGCACAACTTTCCTTTCTGGTTTCAGGACTCCCTTTAACTGTCACATATTCTTAGGTAGAAATGAGTAAATTTACATGGTAGCTGTGTCTCTTTTTAATGATCTGAGAGTAGTCTTCTCTYAAAGTCCAAAGGAAAAGAAATTTAGTGCTTCGCTCTGGATACAGATAAAGCTAAACAGATGCAACATGAGAGGCAACAAACAGCAAAAATGTGCAGTCTGCCCTAGTTCTCTTTTTCACGCRCGTTGTTGATGCATTTTAAAGAAGAAAGCTAAAAAAGGAACTTGTACTTTTGATTTCTCTCCATTGAGGGGAAGTATCACTTCTATGTAAAGACAATGCTATCCCATGTCTACAGCTAGCTTTGGGATCCAAATGAACTYGGATTGAATAAAATCCCAGCAATTCATCACATTCTGTTTCTTAAGGACGGTGAAGCAGGTGAAACTTCTAATCTAGACCAGGTAACGATCTTAATTATCTGGGATCTGAGTATCTCATGAGCCCGAGTTCATTGTACCTGGTGTCAAGATGGAAAAAGTAAATGTTATTTTGATTTTACAAATGCATAAATGAAGGCAGATTTGTTTATTTCCTCAATACTGGGTGTCAGGACTGCAGAGCAGGGGGTTCTTTGTTTGCTCTTCCCCTTCCCACATTATTATATTCCCCTCATTCAAACACACTTTTGCCCTAGAGCRGTGAGCAAGGATTTCTGTATCCAGCTTCTGCAGAACCAAGATGCAGCAGGTCAGTGAAAACAGAGACTGGTTGAGGATTGCAGTTGATGTCGAGTTTTTTCTTTTAATAGGCAGTTGCTCATGTGGCTTCAACTCTCTCTCCAGCTTCCATCAAGAAGGAAACTTCTCATTCAAGAGTGTAAGAATTATTATTCTTACTCAGCTGCTACCTACAGGAAGCCTGAATGTGACTGCTGCTGCTGAGAGAGGTTTGAGAGAATTGCCTGTGACCAGATAATGAAGACATTACTTATTTTTTCTTTAATTTACGGCACTATACCAGCACACATTCATTGCAGGAGAAGCTGGGGCTGAGACTGTCTCTCTTCCTCAAGCTGTGGAGAAGCCATTCACATTGCACATGCCACCAAACAGCTCCCAGTTCTCTGCAGGACAGCCCCCAGCTGCCTGTGGTGGGAGAGCTGCTCCAAATGTGATAACGTGTACATGGAGGCACCTTATACAGTGCAGTTTTGTGCTTGTAAAAAAAACTGGGGAAATGGTCTTTCCTATGTAACGTGACAGAAGTGTTACTATGAGGTGGAGCTTATTTCTGCTTGCACGTTAAAGACAAATTCTGAGAGGAAAAAAAAAGAGATTATTATCTGTTTATTTTTTTCCTCTGYTTTGCCTGTATTTTCCAGCTGTGAACATAAAAATGAACATTCAGAAAAAGCAGCAAATTTTTGATCCTCCATAAAGGTGTTTTGGATCTTAACCAAAATTTGCGAGTGGATGTGCAAAACACTTATGAAGATTTACTAAGTTTCTCCCAATACATTGTTTCTAACTAAGTGGAGTTATTGTTCCATTTACAAATGTTTCCTATGCYGAATAAAAGTCATGGCAATGTTCTAGGTAGTAAAACCCAGTAATAAATCCACAGAAAAATATTTAGATGAGACTTGGAACCTTACCAGCTACTCAGCTATAGCCTTGCTTAAGCAGCTTTAAAAAGCTATTTTAAAATATTTCATTTCTAAGACACTTTAATGAGGAATTTTGCCCCAGTATTTTAGATCAGATATATAAAAATGAAGTAGAAAAAAGAGTGCAAACTCAATTCTAAGTAGTTGTTAATCGTTTCCTTACTGCTACTATCACTGCAAGTATCACTTACAAGCCTGTTGCTTGTACTCTGTTGCTGAAAACTTAAGAATAATCTGGGCTGAAGGCACCCATTCTTTATTATAGTATATATTAGAAAATCTTCTTAAGACAAAGGTAAGACTTTGTCTTGAAGTCTTTGAAATGTCCTAATCAGACATGGCATGCAAAATGAGCTCTACGAAATAAGAACGAGAAMTGAGTAGATGATATTAAGAAAAGATTTCTTACTCTTTTTAGGCTGAAGAGCTCAGGTGGTAGTAGATTTTGAGAGAGATAGGCAGGTGTCTTTGAGGTAAAAAGGCGGGGTATGGAAGATTAGCTACTGTTTTGAACTGAAACCTTAAAATTTTTTTTTTAAGTAATTTAACTTAAAATTATCTGCCCCTTGGAATAGGAGTGTATTGACTTTGAATAAGAACATGTACAACTTCTTTTCTTTTTCTTCTTAGTAACTTCAAATATGGCAGAAGCACTAGCCAGAYTGGAGATTACTTTTTACTCCAGGTTTTTCATCCGTATTCTAATCCGTTTGACTTTCACAAAGGCAGAATTTGCTCACAGCCTAATCTCTAACCCTATGCAGGAGCCTATAACTTTTAAACATGTCCCTCTTATGTGCAAAACTGTTTTGTGCTGAAGACTTTGGTCTTCTGTTTGGGCCTGCTCTCAGGTCTCCACTTCTGGGAGACCAAACTCTAGTTATGCCTCTCTCTTCTGAACGGGACAAAGGTTTTTGAATTTTTTTTGAGRTGATTGCTGCTGATTGTCTTAGGAATGGTAGGAAGGATTGTGCTGTTGTGCCATTTCGTGAAGTTTGTTGTTGGAAACATTAAAGTCTTAGTCAAATGAGGAAACACCTCTGCTCTTGCAAAACAAAGTCTCTTAGCTCTTTTTTTCACTTCATCTTTTTGATGCTGAGTGGATTTTTTTTTTAATTGAAGCTGTTCAGATTTTGTTGAGACCTCCTTCAATCATCTTCAGTTCAGGTGTGAATCTTTTTAAGGAGATCCTGCCTACAGTAAAGAATATTCTCTCAAGTTCTGCAGCTTCTGGTGATCAYGTGTTGCTTAACGTCACGCTGGAAGAAGATGTGATATCCAAGGAGTATCATCAAACCTTGCTCCACAAAAAAGATAGAGAGGACTTTGCAAGGAAGATATCTCTGACATTTGTGGAAAATTGGGACCTGTATGTGAACACTTTCATTCCCTTCGGTTGTTTAAAACTGTATGGCAGTAAGCCTCAAAACATCTCAGGTAATGAGCCATCAAGAAGCAAGTACATTCCTGGTAAATCTTTCTTTCTCTCTCTCATTTTTTTTTCAAATTTGTTAACCATTTACTTTTATTCATGTAATTCTGAGATATTATCACAGCATAGTGCAAAGTGCATCAGTGRGGAAAGTGTGGGGAAGAGATGAGAGTAGAATGTAGTGCCCCAGCAACTAAAACCAGACCCACCTATGCAGCGTAGCCTCCAGATAAGCATTTTCGTAGCCAAACCACAATAAAATTTATTATTCAGAAGGTTCACAACCTTTTGAAGAACCGGGAATGTAAAGAAGATTAAGGAGACCATGATAGAATCAGTTGTTCTTCACTGACGTACCAGTCATTGATGGTCCGAGCAGTGTTTGTTCCTGGTACGTCCTGGTAACTCATGCCAGGAAATCGCTGTCTTTTGCAAGCAGAAATTGGAGGGATGTTCTCCTCTAAGTTCCAAACGTCTGTAAGGGCAAATTCTGCAGGGTTTATGAGAAACTGTTGTAGATTTAAGGATAGGAAGTATTCAGTGGCTTTCAGGGCTGGATTCACAAGTTGTGAGATTCTTAGTGGGCAGCACAAGAGAAATGTGATCACCTGGTGATCGGAGATATTGTCATCACTTGACTGCTACATCTCGCCCACCAAAGAATTGGTGTTGTGCGTGACTGAGAGTAGGATAGCCTCTTAGCCTCCTTAGTCCCTCCAATGGAAAGCTACAGAATCCCATCTTAAACTACAGCATTCGGAACTATTTCTGCAAAGTTTCTGTAAGAAACTGTAAAACGAGAACAGAAGAATACTGTATTAGTCCTGTAAAACATATGGAAGGATCTTGGGCTACTATCTCTATAGGAGATAGATTTTTTTCTTCTTGTTTAAAAAATATATATTTATATATATATTTATTGTATACCCATAAATGTACATACACACACACRTTTATATATTCAGCTTTTGAAGCAAGTTTTTTTATTCAACTTTTGAAGCAAGTTATTTTGTAACTTCATTTTCAAACTCAGTGAATTTCAGCCTTGCTTCTCGTGGTGGTTACACTCCGAGGAAGCCTTGCAGAGAGAACTCAGGAGTTACAGGTTGACATCAGCAGGTTTCACCCTAGCTACTTAACAGTTTTGCTGCTGTTCTTTGTCCAAATCCAGATCTCTGGACAAAGATGCTCCAGCTTTCCCTGCTTGGCAAGTGCCTCTTGCAGAGTGCACTCCCRGCATCAGTTCCACAGYGCTTCCAGTAATGATTGATAATTCCTTCYTTTTTCTGCAGAAAAAAGAATTCTTGTTTTGAATCACCAAGAATCGAGGCGCAGAAGTTGATGGTCACCTGAAATGGTCATCTGAGGAGCTTAGTTCTCAGTTGTCTCATGACCTCCTGTTTCCCAGGCTGTTTTCCACYGTCTCTAAGAGCATCTCTAACAACAATGTCACTAAATGAACCATTAGTCTGATTTGTTGCAGTGTTTCCTTGCTGCTGTCTCTGCATAGCTGTGAGTGTTATCCCAAGCAGGCTTTATCTACTGTAATTTTATTCCGCAATAAGTAGCAGAACTYGTTTGTTCCCTAGACTTTCATTCTTTAAATGTGGAGATTGTCTTATGGGATTATAGGTTCAGATGCTAATTAAGTCAGGCTGCGAGGTTGGTAAAYGAGTGGGGTTGTGCCCCCCATTGGAATGGGGCTAACAACAACCCACTTAAAAACATTGCAAGAAAAAGTCTTACAAAAGTTACTACTGTTTCCTGTCCTAATGGATAGAGCRCTAGATACAGAATTTGCATTTGTGTTTGGAAGTTTTTTGGTAGTTCCTGCTCTGACTGCCATTATGCAGAGACGTTGCTTTTCTTCTGGTATGCATGAAGGAGACACGTGAAAGAGCAATGCTATGAGACCCTGGCCAAGAGTGGCTGATCCTCTAGATGCCGAGCAGAGGCCGTGACTTATTCCAGGGTCTCTGCAGCTCATGTGAATACTTAAAAGACAAAACTCAGGATGGGTTTGAGTTGGAACTGATGGGAAACACCCTGAAAGTAGAAGCAGCCAAAAGTTGTTCCTATATCAAGTGCCTCATGATGGTCGCACAGGAGGAAGGATCCTGAGAACACAACTGCCTGCCTGGCTCATGTTCTGCCCCTAGGTTGGACCGTCGATCTCTCGATCTGTGTTTATCTGTAAGTATTGGGACCARCTCCCAGGAAGGAAACATGGTTGCTTTGCTTATAGGATCTTAGTGAGAGCTTTGAGCACAAGCTGGTTATCAAAAACTTGCCTTCCTGAAGCAGCAGGGCCTGGGTGCCACTGTGTGGCATATCCTGCTTCCCTCCCTGCCCTMCAGCCAGTGGTGGAACTTTTGCTATAAGCTRTAATAGAGGCTATGGGATAATACCACATATGCCGAATATGGCATATTTGACAATATTTTCTCCTCTATAATGAGTTTCTGACTTGTATAGATCTATCCCATGATACCAAATGGAAAAAATAAGAGGACGAAGTTTCAAAGCCACTGAAGCAGTTAGGCATCATGTAGGAACACTCAATAATACAACTGTTATAGAAAGAGGTCTTTGTACACCAACTATCACTGACATGATAAAGGAAAAGCTRTGATTCAGTTTGAAACTCATTAATTGAGCAAATGTTAGGTTTTTGGTACATACATACCCTATGCAGCAGGTGTAAGTCAGACAAGCTTTACAAGTTCCTGTTTTATTAAACTCAGTGCTTGTCATTTGGGGGCAATGACAAATATACTTGCATAGCTGCTGAACTAATTTTGGATTGGCAAGGTTCCTGAGCATGTGAAAAAAAATACTTTCACTTCTGTTAGAGCAAGCAGAGCTGCAAGGTAAGACTGGCTGTGCCCTGCTTCCTCTGTTCCTTCTGATGCCCCACTCAAACTGGGGGCTTTGGGACAGCGTTGAGTTGAAGTTCACAGGAGAATGTGAATGCGAATAGAGGAGAGCAGGAATTTGGGGGCATAGYGAAATTCAGAAAATTTCAGTTTCCAGCTAAGTGAACTGATTGGATCTGCTGTAAACAGAGTGAGCGAAGAACCGCAGTAAAGTGGGTGAGAAGCTGCAGGCTCTTCCTGCTGGTGGCAATGGCTCAAGGTAAGAGCGCCTCTGTAGGGGCGGCTGGAAGGGAGCTTCATCTTGCTTTTCCTCCCTGGAATTCCCCTGAACCACTAGCTTTGCTGCTGCAACTGCCCTGGATTATTTCCTTCTTTCTGTTTTCAGTTTCTGTAACCACTAGGCTATGGTCACAGCTCTACTGACCTCCTGCTGCAGAATCCAGAGGGAAAGAGCGGGAGCTGTCCGGTTTTTCCAGGTTTGTTTTTCCTTACCTTTTCAATGCAGTGTTTTTGTCATGATACGTTCATCTCTTCTTGCCTTTTTGGGTGTGAATCAGAGCGGTGTGTGAGTACCCATGCCGGTGTTGCTTGACAATTTAGTGAGACGAGGACTGGGCTTAAATTGGTCRAGTTTGGGACGATTCGTAGCATTTGTTCTGTGAGTCACCATCTTACTTGGTAGAAAGTTTGCTATCATTCATTTTGGGTTTTAGGAGGAATATCACTTAGTTTGCACGTGTTGATTGAAAGTGAAACTGAGGAGCACGGGAAGAAATTGGCCTATTTCCATTTTTTTTTCTCAGCTCTGGCAGGAAATCCTCAAGTTTTATTTTCTCTTTCAGAAGGGCTGTAATTCTATCTCAATGCAGAGGTAGTTTTCTGTTGCAGAGCTTGTAGGCAGGTGCATCTGTGTTTCGTCGTCCCCCTAGGATGAGCGGGACAGTTGTGACGTGAGAGATGATGCTGACCACGAGAAGGTGGCTTCTGCTCTYGGTGCCTTTACAAGTCTGACATCTACAGGATAAGACGTTGCGAATCTGCCTGAGCCCAGCTCTAAAGTGAGTGCAGCTACGCTTCTTTAATTTGCTTATTGCACTTCTTTAATACTGCTTATCCTTTTCACCGAAAAACAGAAGAAACCTCTTTCTGGCTGATATTTATATGGTGYTTCTCTGATTTCTTTAAACACATCTATAGGGGAATGTGGCAGGATACAGAACAGCTTTTTTGTTGTTGTTGTTACATCTTTGTTTCTCTTTTAGACCATAAAGCTSAAGGAAAAGAGTGGCACAGGCAAGAGATGTGTACAGAAACATTAAGTGTCTTGAATGAAATTGGGAAGTTTAACTGGAACTCGGCGCTCAGATGCACTAGCCTTTTTAGAGCTGAAAGAGAAACTGCAATTTTCAAAGCTAAATATAAATTAGTTACTGTTATTTAGAATTTAAGAATAAGAAGGCCTTCTCAGAAATGAAAAGCTGGTAGGAACCAGCTTTGGATRGAGCAGAAGGAGTGTTAGTGCTTGAGGAAGAGGATGGTAACGATAGCAGGGTGTGGACTTTGCAGCAGCAGGAGAGAGAAGGTAAAYAGAAAGTTTAACAGAAAGAAAAAAAGAAAAGAAAAAAAAGGCTTGAAAGTCTTGGCTGGTGCCATTGAAGTRCTTAGCTCCAAGCAGTGGAACCTGGTGGAGTGGGTTATTAGTCTCCGTACTTAAAGAAGGACGTTTCTTCAGCAGTCTCTGTGTTTGCAGCTGTTTAACCTCTGTCCCGATGGCAGTTGCATCCTCTTGTCCTTCTGCCACCCAAAGACAGGGCGCTGTGCAGAGCGACGAGGTTATGTCATTCTGCAGCTAAGAACGTGTCATTTGCAAGGCACAATTAGTTGCTTGCTGTGAATTATCCGCTGCTTCCTGAACTGATGCGAGAATGAAATTGCAGGGGTTTTCCTGTGTTCTTGCAACGGCTTTGCTCGTCCGTTCTCGGCGCCTCCGTGCTCCTAGGGCAGCTCACTTTATCACCTGCCTGTTCAGATGTCAACAGAGCTTGGGGAAGAACCCCAACAAGCTGCCACAAGAACATCTACCTTATTTCTGGAGAGAACCTTACATTCTTGTGTTTATATTAATCTTTATCTTACGGAATCACAGAATCTTAAAGGTTGGAAGGGACCTCTAGAGATCATCTAGTCCAACCTTCCTGCTCAAGYAGGCACACCTAGAGCATGTGGCACAGGGAATTACCTGCCATTTGAATTTAGTTTAGTAACAAACTCACTGCCTTTGATATGTTGATCTTTTAAAATATAAGACAYGGTTAAATCAAATTATTGGGGCCACATGATAACCGCAACCATCCCTCTTACTTTAGAAATATAAAAAGTTCAACTGTTAACTTGTTTGTGACTTAAGCGAACACCTACTGTGTCCGTAACTGGATTCTCTGTCTGGATATGCCAAAGTTCAGTGGATTTCTTAGCTAGGTTTCTGCTGTTTTGCATTGGTCCTGTTCTGCCTGAGCTCCGGGCAGTAACTCAGCTCAGCTCAGGGTGCTGGGCAGAGCGCTGGGAGCAGCACGAGCGCCTGGCGCTGCTGTGCAGAGCACAGGGCTGGAGCCACCGCGTCCCCACGCCGGCCTCGCGTGGCACCTGGGCCCGGAGCTGTCACGGCAGYGTGAGACTCTAGCAAAGTCCATAAAAATCAGGTGTGAGGCAACAAGGAGCAGTACTGCAGGTACGGAGCGTGTCCTTCCATGATGTCAGGCAGCGGGATCCTTGGAGAAGAAAAGGGGAAGCTTTCTGAGAAAGCAATTGCTGTTGTAGACGTTTTTGGTAGCAACGGGCCTTATTGCATGTTAAAACACAGCAAAACACTGGTCCCCRAAGCCTGGGCAGAGCACAGTCACTYATGGCAGCAAAGCCCAGCTGCTGTTAAGAAAGGTTTAAAATAAGAAAAGCTCTTATGGCTCAGACTTAGCTAAATCTTAGTATTTCCCTAAAGACTTTAGTCCTTCCATCAGACTTGTCTGCTGGTTGGGCTGTCATCAAGTTTACTGACCCCTGCGCGTGAAGGGAGCGGTGCCTTTATCTACCTTGTGTTTCGAGTGGGAATTCTGCCCGCTGACCTCCCACCTCCAAGCCCGGGGTGGTGCCGGGTCAGAGAGATGCAGGACAGCGGCTGCAAGGCCCGGATTCAGACAGGCCCGGCTTGCTCTGCATTGTTATGTTAATGCAGCAAAGGAAGCGGCAAACCCAAACATTGCAGCAAGCTGAAAGTTTAATCCAGCATCTTGATATTTCTCACTCTTGGTTCTCATGAAAGTCAGTCAACTTCTGCTTTCCGTTTATAGCGGAGCAGGCAATAATCTCCCATGTCTGTAATGCTGGTGGTGTGATGAGGCCACGCAACAYGAGCGAGGAGAATTGTCCGAGTGCAGCTTATCTGCGCCCACCAGCTCCTCTGGGCTCTGGTGTGTGCAGCTGCAGAGGCGGAGGGAGGATCTGCTGCCGAGCTGGGCAAGCTGCACACGGGGCTCCAGGAGGAGTGAGGCCATTCAAACGGGGCAGCAGGAGTGCCCTGCTATGGACAGAACATCTGCAGCAGGGTGGTGGCTTTCCTTCGCTGCAAAACACCGTTGTGCCAAGCCAAAACTCATGGTTGTGATGCACCCCAGTGCTACGTCTGTGTTGGAGGACACTGAGAAGCCAGTATTTGTTGTATTCCCGATGTGGGATAGTGGGGAGGATGCGAGGGCTGATTCCAGCGCCTGCTGGTGTGACTGGCAGGGAGCAGCAGGGACTGGGAATGGTGCGGGCGAAGAGCTCTTCTTGTCTGGGCGTTCCTCGGGGCAAGCCAGGGCCCAARGGGACGGTGCCTTTCGTGCACATTCGGCCCGGCGTTTTGGGCAAGAAGTGTCTACAAGGAGTGTTCTACCTTTCACTTTCCTTGAGCAGAAGCCTCCGAATGCTCTCCAAGGCTCAGGAGCTTGGGATGTGCCATCCCAACCCAAAGACRCTTCTCCTGAGAAGTTGTCATGGCAAAATGGTGTGGGCTGCTTCCTGCATCCGCTTCACAGCAGCCGTCTCGTTCCCCAGTGTCTTTCTGGATCTGTGCTCGTGCTTTTTGTAACCTGATAAATTTACAGGAGTTGTGATTTCTTCCATGTTTGCCAGATACTTTTGGCCCATGTGGTCAGTGTAGTATCCCCTTTCCCTTGACTCAAGTGAAAACTAGATCCTTGCTATTGCTGAATTTAGACAAGTCTCATCACAAGCTGCATCTGACCCCATAAGTTTAAGCAACTCAGCATTATAAATCAACTCTAGACTTGTTAAGCAATACCACTTTCATAGACTCAGGATTTCAGTGCCTTGTAGTCAACAGAAAGCCACAGCACCTGACTTGTGGAAATATTGGCCTACAAAAGCTTGTGTTTTTTGCCATTCCATCGAAACAATGTGCTCTGTTGCCCTGTTCATTGTTTTGTGATGTGATTGCAGACAGCAAGAGACAAATCATGGACTCGGCATTTGCGAATGAAAACGGCTACCTCAGTCTGCTGCACAGCGACATGGATCCACAGCATCTGCTGCGATCCGCAGCCGAGTGTAGGCTTGTTGAGCCTACACCACCTGCAAATGCAGAGAGTGACTTCTCAGCAGGTTGGTAATAGTCTGAAAACTGCTTGAGGTGTTTGGCCACCATTCTGTAGGTCACTACCGCCCCGGGATGAACTTGCCATCTATAGTGTCCATGTATTGTGGTCCTTAGGCTCAGTGGATGCTTGAAGTAATGGTGCAGAACCTTTGTCTGCATCTGTCTAGGTATAAAATAGTGACTGGTTCCCGCTGCCATCATCKACTTAAAACTGAGTGCATCTTTACAGCTTCGTGCCACGCAGGTGTAATGAAACGTGCTGTACATATGGCCCGTTAATTTGTAGGGTGGTGGGTAGCGTCTCTGTTTGACATGTCATTCCTGTAAGCAGTCTTTGCAAACATTCCYATCCTAGGCTGGCCAAGCGTGACTCTGAACACTTTCAGAGGTTCAAGACAAAAGCTTTGCAAAACAAGAGCTTGTGATGAAGCCAAGCGACTGTAAGCCAACAAACTGGCACTTGCTTCCTTCTGAGCTCCTAAGGCTCCAACACAGTGAACTTGACGCTATTTTGCAGCTTTTGTGGGCATGGACCAATGATTTCACAATTCTGTGAGGGAAGAGAAAGCAGAAGGGCAGGGTGGAAAAGTGGTATTTTACATATCAGTCCTGACAACTGAGCAAGTGAAGAGTTTGGCCCTAGCCCTTCAGCTTTCTGCTCCTGAGTCTGTGTGAAAGCGTGGGGGTTAATTTGCAGAACAGACAACTCCGTTGTAGGTAACAGTGACCTGGAGCCTTTCCCTGGCTTCCTGGGGGAGAGGCCAAACCATGGCAGTCGGCATCAGCGTCAGAGATCAGGCCCTGGGACTGCTCAGTTTACCTGGAGTCATGAAAGCCTCAGAACTTAGCAAAAGGTGACTTCGATTTCTGGATACCTATGATTTACCCTCAATTCAGTTCAGTTCCTAGCTAGCCAGTGTCCAATGCAGAGCAAAAGCGGTGCGCTGAAGTGATAATTCTGCCTTTTCAGGGTGTCCTGCTTTCTGTTTTCCTTTGCTGTGGTATTCACTGTGCCAATTTTCACTCCTTAATTCTAGATCCTGAAAATGATACTAGCAACCATGATCAGTTCAGTAACATGGATTTCCTTTGTGCAATGGCAAATGATGTAAATGTGCGTGAGTTGTGTTCCTGTTCCAGCCTAAGAGAAGCTTATGCTAGAGTAGGTATGAAAGCTCCTTTGGTTTGGGGGTTTTGTTTTGTTTTTCGTTTGTTCGTTTGTTTTGTAAAGGTATTGGCATTTTAACATGCTCATTATTCTTCTGCTCACTTACAAACCCTGTGTTTGTTCACTCTAAAGCAATAGTGTCTGCTCAGAAGTGTCCTGTCGCTCACTGATGTTAGATCTAACTGTGCTACCCAAACCTGTGCATCTCACTCAGGAAACGGATAAACAACGTTTTGTGGTTGTCAGGGGGGAAATCTCTCTATTAATGTCGCTTTCTGCTTAACACTTCCTGTCTTAACTTCTGCTTTTTAGTTCTTTATTTCCTGAATAACAATTATAAGTTTTACAGGAAAAAAGCATTATTTTAACTCTTCAATTTCCCYGAGATGACAGAATTCTGTTAATGAGAATAAACTTGCAAGAGTGACTACTGTGCAGTTTATTATGCCGTTACTATATGTTCCTATTTTTGTTCTTTATAGCTGGATTAATAGACTATGTGCTTGAAGATGATCAGGAAAAGCAGGTGGAAGACACTTTTGGTAAGACTCGTGTGGCAAAAATGAGTTGTGCCCCTGGCAGTGATCTGGCTAACACGTGCTCTGTACTTCACTCCCATGGTTTGGATACTAGTAAGGCTTCTGTAAATCTCGTAGCTCATTTTCACATTTGGCARCTTGGTCCAGGCAAATTTTGAGGATTTTCTGTAGATTTTGCAGGCTCAGAGGTGGTCGTTATATTTCTGGCCAAGTTGCTAATCACCTCACCCCATCGTGTGTGCGCAGCTCAACTGTGCAGTGCAGTATGTACAGTATATATCAGACCGATGCAGTTGATGTGTATGTGTTTATTAAGTCTGGCCCATCCAGAGGATTTAGCATGCATTAAACATAGCTCATCCATGATTATTTCTGTCCTGGATACACAGAGCTACCTGAGGAAGCAAGCCAGATTTTACTTCACTCCCTGACCAGTGCTGCAGTGGTGTAATATCCACATAATGAATTATTACTTCATTGCAGTGCTTTTCCAGAATAATTGCTTTGTACTTTGATTTTGTGCTATGTATGATTATGTACTGTTTTTATACTAAAGGATTGTTTTTTCTAGTGATACATAAGCAAGTGTTTATGATTTCAAAATGCAGATTTCTGAACATGTGACTGTTGTGAAATGCTTAGATGGAGAAAGATTCACAGAATTTCTTTATCCTGTTTCATGCATGAAAAGTGTGTTTTGAACTTGACCGAGGTTCAGTTCTTAATGAAGATAATTAATTCTGGTTACAAGCTTGCATGCCTTTTTTATGCTTTTCAGTGCTTCCGGGTACATTTAGAGATTGGGGGGTTTGCATCTAATGCAAAATTATAGATTTCAATATATGTTTTACAGCATGTTTTCTGTTTTTCATCTTTTTGTAGCATGTTTCTTTGTTGCTACCTGTGAATGTCTCTTGCTTTTGCTGTTCCCTGCAGCTTTTCTAGGAGAATAATGGTTGCCATCTGGTAATATTTRGTGCTTTTTTAACAGGGAACCTTAACTGGGATGAAATGGCTGTTGAAAACTCTGAAAAATTTTCTGACATGAAGTTGCAGAAATGTTACAAACGAAGTAAGTTAAAAAAAAAAAAAAAATAAAGTGGCATTTGAATTCTAAATGTGCTTTAAGTTCTTTTTTAAGCAGCCCCAATAGATTTTTCATGTAGTTCTTCACTCACCTGATCAGATGTGCTTTCTCTGACTCTTCTAAAGAGTTCTGCACATTTAAATTAGTGGTGACTTTGCTCATCCTTTGTGGGCTAGAAGGGACTACAACTCCCCATGCATATCCTTTGCAATTTTCAGTTTGTTGTTGTGTTATCTGATGCTATAAGCAGATTATATTTCTTCATTTTTTGTCATCCTTATGACAATGTTCTCAGTGTATGCCTAACTTAGCAAGTGTTAGCTGGATCATTAACAGCAGGAACAGCAAAAGCTTTGATTACTGTCACAAACTGCAGCCTTGCTGAAAGTTCACAATCATAGTAAAATAATATGAAGTAACTCACATTCTCCACTTCTGAAATAGCTGGCTTGAAACACTCCCTTCTGCTCTAAAAAGTGAAAACTTTCCACAGTGAAGAGTTAAATCTCCCAAACTGGGCTCAATTTGCATCACTCACAATCATCTTTCTTTCCACCAGCTGCCTTAAGCTCTGCAGAGAGTTGCTCTGGAGTTTCAGAACCCAAATACAAGAAAATTGGTGAGTTATTGGATGGGTAGGAAATGATGACTGAGTGTGGATTGCCTCGTGTTCCAACATCTCTTCCTCTCCTGAGTATTGCCTTCCAGGGAAAGTCTGCTCCCCCACATTTGATAAAATAGTGAATTTTCTGAATTTTCATGCATAAATGCTTGAGCAGAGTGAAAATCACTGCAGAATCGCATTCTTCCTATGACGCACCTCAGTCTAAGTGATCAGGCAATCTCTGTGGCCTCTTACCAGTACCTGCATGTTGGGGCTGACCACATAGGAGAAGAAATCCTGTCCTCGATGCAGAAATTCAGGGCTATGGCTGATTGAGTTGCAAGCACTGCATCATCAAAAAGCTTTCTGGTGTGCTCCCTTCACAGGGGCTTCCTAGCTGTGGTATAAGCCCTGCAATATGCAATTGTGTGTGAAAGATGTAAGAATGGTAAAACTCACTCAGGCTGCAGTATTTATATGCTTTTTATTTTCTGGATCTGTGCCCCTGTGCTTCTGGATCTGTGCATTTACTTCATGTAATGTTAATAGACCTTATTTAGTCTGCCAGCAACTAGTGCTCATGAAGAGCTGGGTAAGTGTTTGTATTTTTATTCATTCAACCTGTTATGACGTTTGTTTAATGGCTTTTGTGGCCATTACAGAACTCCACGAATTGTGGTTCACAAGCTTGCCAGATTTGCCCAGAAGCTGCAAGAGAGCATTAGTAACCTAATTTAGAAGCCAGGAGGCTTTAAAAATAGGCAAATAGTTGTTCTACACTCCATTGTGTTTGATTCCAGAGTATCTGCCCGTCAGCACAAAAGGGAGCCAAGAGAACACAGAGTGTGCAGCTCTTCCTCAGCAGATAATTAATTTTGTTTTTGAAAACGGCACATCAAATGTTATAATATATCCAGGTATGAACCATGATCTTTTATTTACATAAATAGAAAGTACTGGACAATCAGTGCTGCCAAGGAAGTATTACGTTCCCTACGCAGTCATTGGTAGCTGCCAGTGGAAACTGTCATTTACTTTTTTCATTTCCAGTGTTGACGTCTTCCACTGAAACGTTGATCCCCTCAAGTTTTCCAGTTAGTTTACATGGTAAGTGTAAAATGACTTCTTGTACGTGGAGTTCTTGGGGTGGGAGAAGGATATTGCTGGTTCTTGAAGGCTTTACTCATGTTGACATTCTTCAGGAAAAGAAAAAATAATGGCATGTCCTTCACTGCACTGATGACTGGCTGCTGAGGCTAGTCCCAAATACCAGGCAGATGAGATTGCAGGGCAGCCTGTTCTAGTAGATGCTAGCAATCAATCTACTGTACTTCTTGTGAAGGCCATTTCATTAAGTTTTATCTGGTTAAAACAATTACAAAAAAAAACCCAAGGTGTTCAAGCACCGTCTGAATRAGAAGCTGATGCAGGGGCTTGAGCACTCTGTGCTAGGAGCCAGACTGCAGTCAGCTCATACAGACACTCCACATCCCAAGTGACCTCTTCCCTGTGGAACTTGACAAATACACAAACTTTAAACAATGCAGATATACACCTAATATTCAGAAAGTTTTGGAGTAAAGAAATTGGAGTTTTGGTCATACTGTAACAGTGCAGCCCTGGTGGAAGACGTTCCTTGGGCACTCTTCTTCTAGAGAGCTCTTAGACTCGAGTTTGACTGCGGTGAATGTTTAGTTGCTGATCACGATCCATCCTGGTGATTACAGCTGTTTGCCATGTAGTACAAGGGTATTATTGCCCTCTAGTGGCTAATGCCACCCAAAGTAGCTTTATTATTATTTTTTATTTATTTAAGCGAAGATTAATAGGCAAATAATTTGCCTTTTATAGGACTMCTAGGCCCTATTTTAGGTCTCCTATAATTGTTAAAAAAAAAAAATATTAAATGGTATATTGTGCAGAGCTAGGGACATGAATCTATGATTTTCCCYGTCTCTGCAGAGTGGGGGAACTCTGCACACTAATCACCACACTAATGGTGCTGTTGGGTTTATAACATCTCCATCAATTCAAATTCTGTCCTGCAAAACCTTTCCTATCAAAAGCGTTGTCAAAACTGATCCTTTCTGATCTTCCTGAAGTATATTGTTGTGTTTCTGCAGACTTAGAAGTTTTCAAAGAAGTACAAGATCCTATAGTTCCTTCTGAAGAACCTCTCAAGAGACCAGGTGAGTTTAGATCTCTTAACCTTAAATCTTTGGCTATTTATGGTTAATTTTGCTGTGTTTATACACAGAAAGCTGCTTGTTGTAGAAAATGTGACATGACAGTTTGTGAAGTACCCTGAGCACAGTACTTGTTTTTAAGATGTCAGACTTGCCCACCTGTAGACTTTGCTCTGTTATCTACGTGAGGAGTGCGACATACTCCTCATGTAGGTATTTGAGAGATACATTTTTATATTTACACTATTTATATCAGATACATAGCTACCTCTAAAGTGMTTCAGGTCTTATGTGTAAAGGTGTCTATTGTGTCTGCACTGTTAATTAAGCACCTTTAGGTGGAGGGGATGAATTCAGACCTACAGGCTTACTGGGAAGTGGTGTATTTTGGCTGCAGAACAGTTATGAACAGAAACAATGTTGAAAACTGGGCTGTTTTCTTCATTATGTTTGTGCTTTGTGTTTCTCTAGGGCCAGTGGAAGATTTTTGTGTGTCTCTCATGGATTATTTCCGAGATGTGTGCAAATTTGTGGCCATGGAGCGTGAAGTAACGCTTGACCATCTGTTCATTGATGGGACTCTYGTTCAAGGCCAAAAGGAATCCAAGAGTGGGAAAAACAGTGTAAAAGTAATGGAAAAGGAGCTAGGGACTTGTAATCTGCAAGGGAAGGAAAAGGCAGCCCTTGAAAGAAGCCAAATATTTCAAGTCCCAGGAAGCAAAGAACTGGAGACTAAAGTGATTGTGGTGCTAGGAAAAGCGGGAATGGGGAAAAGCATCCTTGTTCAGAAGATCTGCCAGGACTGGTCCAATGGAGAGTTGCCTCTGTTTGAGTTTGTCTTTTGCTTTGACTGCAAACAAATAAGCATGCCCGAGAAGCAATACAGYTTGAAGGATCTGCTGCTTGAGTTCTTTGTAAAACCTCAAGAAGGAAGCGATGAGATCTTTGAATATATCCTGCATAATCCTGCTAAAGTCCTTCTGCTTTTTGATGGCTTTGAAGGGCTGCATTGCAGTGGGAATTCTCCTCGGGGCTCAGACAGCAAGCCTGGCAAAGAGGTGTACAGTATCACGGAGCTGCTTGCAGGYCTCCTCCAAAAAAAGATGCTGAATGGTTGTACCTTACTACTTACAGCAAGACCTAAAGACAAGGTGAGCCAGTATATGTCCAAAGTGGATAAGACTGTTGAAATAGTAGGATTCTCCCCTCAGCAGAGAGAATTATACATAACCAGGTATTTTGAGGGATTGCCCTACTGTGACAAGGCGCTCAGATTTATCAAAGATTGCCGGTACCTTTTCAGCCATTGTTACAACCCTCTTATGTGTAGGTTTGTTTGTTTCCTCTGCGAGACAGCGCTTGAAATGGGAGAGAAGGACCTTCCTCCAACGCTTACTGCGCTCTTCCTCAAATTTGTTCAGCATAAGCTATCACTCGTGCAAAGAGAGGCTGCGTCCCTGCAAAATCAAGAGAATCTTGCTACGCTAGCCCGTATAGCCTGGTATCTTGGAGAGAAGCACCAACGTGCCATGAAGAGTCATCTCTTTCCTTCCAAGGAAGTTAAAGAATTTGCTCTRAAGTATGGATTCGTCCTGCCGTTTGCATTCCCCAAGCATTCAGATGTGGGAGAAGAGGAATTTGGTAGCACGTTCTCTGATTTTGCCATTCAGAATTTCTTGGGTGCRCTTCACCTTTTGTTAGCAGAAGAGGTCAAGGATAAAAGCCTAACCAAGTACCTGTCTTTTCCATCCAAGAAGAAAAAGCCTTACAACTGGTTAGACTTAGTGCCTCGATTTTTAGCTGGATTGCTGTTCCTCCAGGATGACCCTGACTTCTGTTCCCTTTCAAACAAGGATGTAAAGCAACCAACCAAAAAGCAGAAAACACTCCTGAAATACATTAGAAGGCTGCAGATAAATAACCTCTGCCCAGAGAGGTTGCTGGAGCTTTTCCATTGTGTTTATGAAACACAAAACAACTATCTCGTGCAGCATGTGGCCCTAAGACTCAACCCAGAGCTGTCTTTTCTGGGTGTTRTTCTTACACCACCTGATGTCCATGTGTTGTACTCTATTTTAGAAAGGTCAAGAAAAGAGTTCTCCTTGGATYTGCAAAACAGCAGCCTTGATACGCAAGGGCTAAAAGACTTGGTTGGCCTGAAGAATGTGACATCATTCAGGTTGGTGCTTCTTTGCAGACAGTGGCATCAGTCATGGAATATAGAAGACACTTTTTATGCAACAGCAGTCTCTTATTGGTTGATTTTATATGTTTTGTCACTTTGCAGGGCTTCTCTCAGAGATGCAATCAGGCTCTGGAAGTCTTTAGAACAGGCAAAAGAGTATGAGCTGCTGAGAATATCAACAGAGAAATTTATTCTTGATCCTTTTAAGGCAAAGACGATGACTGACATCAGCGACCTTTCGGACCTTGTAGAGATGCAGAAGATCATCAGCTGGTAGGCTCGCTTATGGTCAAAAATCCTCATGATCCATTAGTGATGTAGTGATTAGTGACTGCAAGCTTTTGTGYCATCTCACATGTGCTGCTGCTCTGAGGTGTAGTGCTTGTCCTGGCAGGGAGGAGGGATGATAGACACATGCAGAATATTGTTCAAAACGGCCAATAAAGAAGTCAATGCTATTTTTTTCCCTCGTTTTTCTTTTTCATCTCAGGGTATTATGCTATCTTGTACTTGCTTTCAGTTAGCCTGTGCTGATTTCTTTTTCTGTATAGCRCCTAGACCATAAATACAAGCTTTTTTTATTTCCATAACCATAAATGACCCAAATCGGTCCTTTGGCTCAAATGGTAAAGGCTTGGGTTACCTAGTCCACAAGCCGTGCGTTACCTTCTTGCTGATGATGTAGCTAAGAGACTGATTACAATGAAAAATATGCATGAAGTAAGTATGGTATATTGTTTTGAAATCAGAATGGAGACATCCATTTTGACACAGATTATTTAGATTCATATACAAACAAAATAAGTTTTCTGATTGACAGAAAATACCTGTCAAACAGGTATTCATACCAATAATCAATCCAATGAAGAAAAGCTGGAGCAGAAGTTATTCTGAAGTTTCACAGAAATTTCCTAGTTAAGGTAGCAGTGATTTATTTATTGTAAGAGTTTACTGACCTCTTTTTTATAAAGTACTGTTTGGGTTTCAAAAATTCTCAGAATTTTGTTGTGATTYATTTAGTGTGCAAGATGTATCTGAKTGGAACAGCTACGAAATTCCTGCCATCAAAAACCTCAAGAAACTGGAATTTGCGTAAGTGTTGTGCCTCTATTGGAACATGTTTACATWCCAGACYGAGAAGAGTCAAGGATGTTGGCTACAACCATTAAACTCACTTAAAGGTAGCTTATTGAAGGCTGGGTAAAGGAGAGGCAATAAGTAAAACCCATTTATTTGTGTTTTGGCAGCCTGAACTGGATTATTATTTTATGGTCAGAACTTGAAAATGTCATTTTCAGTTTCCACAGTGGTACATAGCAACATGGCAACTATATGCAATAGCAATAGTAGGATACATAGCAACAAACAACTATCAGAGTTTGATTTTACTGAAACTTAGCTCGATTATCATCAAATGCAGATCTTGTCAGGATATAAAATATTGCGATTGTGATCCAAGTATTTCACTTTCCTGTCTGAGACTATCAAGAGYACAATACGTAGTGGGAAGTATGAAAAGAACAGAAATATAGGAGTCTTAAACCAAATGAGGGCAGTCTTGCAAGAAGAAACAAAGAAGTGGTAAATGCATCAACCACTTTCTCAGTGCAAACAGGTCTGTCCTTCTGACCTTAGCCCTGTGGGATCCTCTTCTGGAGGCTTTAAAGCAGAAGTTGGCACCCACCAGTCTGCTGGAAGTGGTTGTTTACTCCACTGGGAGGGTGACCTGGCTTCCAGTGGGCGCTGCAAGGCGAGAGAACAACAGATTTATAACTTTGGATCTTTCTGAGCTGCAAACAACTGCTTTGCGTGTGTCTCTCTTTGTAGGCTGGGTCAGGTGTGTGGTCTTCAGGCAGTGCTAAAACTTGTGGAAATTCTAGCGGCGTTTCCATCCCTGCAGCATTTAGAGTGAGTACATCCCAAGATTAAGCATGCTAATGTTGATCCTCAGCAGCCCTTGATGGTAGCAGAGTTTGTGTACCTGAGAAAGATAGCAGAKGAAGCTTTGCAAGGCATAAAGAGTGGTCTCTGAGGTGAATGCAACAAAAAATAGTTTTGAAAGGAAACTAATTTCTTCTCTCTGATCATGTAGCCTTGAAGCTCTGAGTGAGAATGGCATAGGAGATGAAGGAGCAAAGAGTCTATCTGAAGTCTTTCCAAAGCTGACATCTCTGGAAACATTAAAGTAAGTTGTAAAGGTAATAGTTTTAGGAAATTATGAAAAGAAGTAGCTTAATCCTAGAGCCTGAGGGATTGTGCCTTAGCAGTTAGGGGTACAACAAACCCATGGACATGGTACACTAGTTAGTCTACAGGTGTAGTCAGCCTCTGCATTCATCAGAGAAATGGGTAAATGCCAGAGCCTTAGAGACTGTGTGTTAGCAATTCCTCATTTSCCTTCAAGGGCAGCAGTTCAGCTTTTTTTCCTGCTGTTGACCTGAACAGACCATGCGAGTTACTTAAGATATTTGATATGCACTTTGTTCTTTTTAAGCACTTCAGGACMTCTTTCAGGGAGAGCTGCCTTACAACTTCAAGCACTGAAAGCCAAAAGGTGAAGGGCCAGGCCAAGGCATCAAAGCCTTGCAAAGGGAAGAATAAAGTGCAGAAGATGGGAGGAAGGGAATGAAGCAGCAGTGGAGGGTGCAGGGGAGCTCAGGTTGCTCCTGCTGRTGGTACTGAAGGAGCAGAAGAGGGGCAGCCAGCCCGTCCCAGTCAGCCTAGACCTCTCTGTACAGTAGCACCAGTGAGGTGAATTTTCCAGAATTTTTAAGTAGTGATAAATAGTCTTCTATTGTGTCTCCCTCCACCTTCCGTCCCTAGCAGAACATGAACATGCAGCTTTGCAGTCCTGTGTGTGTCACTGCTTGTGTCTGGCTTGGCACAGAGAACCCTTCGGGCTTGTGCCAGTGCAGAGGTTGGGGTATGTTAAAGGAGAGATCTCCTGTGTATGCAGGKTTTTTTTTCTTTTTTTATTTCTTTTTTTTCCCCTTTTWTTTCCTTCTCTCCTTCCACTGGCAGGTATACATTCCAACTCTAAATTTTTCAGAAACGCTCCAAATTTGGCGAGAGGATAATATTCTTTTCAATGTTCTTTTCAAGTTTCTTGAAATTCAGCCTGTTCTTGGGTTGTAGAGTGGGGAAAAGTCTCAAGTTAATGGTAGCTTCGAGGTGGCTTTAGCATACTGTACTKCAGCATCATTTGTGCTGTTCAGGACAACACCTAAAATGAATTTCCCTCACACTATAATAATATAGAGTAGATGTGCTTAACTAATGATACCATCYTATTTGCTACAGCTTATCACAGAATAAGATAACAGATGTGGGTGCAGAGAAGCTAGCTAAAGCTCTCCCTCATTTGTCTTCATTGAAGACCCTTAGGTGAGTAGTTGTATCCTGTTCAGTTGTTTTGTGCAACAAACCTCACTGCTTCTGTTAAAAATTATTGACTGTGGAGCAAATCTGCACACGCTTTGCAACAGGCAAGTGCTGGACGTCAGTCCTGTCACCAGTCCAGGGCCAAGGCACGTCCCATGGGGAAGGCTTGTGTTCAAAATACCCTGTGATCAATAGTGCCCTGAACAAAGGTTTGCACAAGGCCATGATCTGCAGGAGAGTCCTGCATTCMGGTCCAGTAGTCCATCCCAGTCCATTTAAATCCTGGAGAGAAATGTAAGAAACTGCAGAGTACAGATTAATGGAATAACTTACTCCCATGGAAATACTCTTCTGAATGCCCTTTTCCAAATGTTTGTGCTTTATCTTCTTGCACGTTTTTAATTTGATATAATGCAGAGTAGAATGTTCTTGTTCATTAAGAATCTAGACATAATTTTGGCTCATTAAGAATCTGGACATAATTCACATAATTCACCTTCATAAGGTGAAGGGAAGTGATTCTGCACTTTGGTATAGGGAATATGAAACTTGTGTTTTAAAGATTAACTCCAAACAGTTAAGGATAAATTGGAAGTTAAGATGTACAGACCCTRTCTGAAATTCTTTGATCTGATATATAACTAGTTTACATTTTCTATTATTCAACTGTGACTCTACTGGTTTTTATTTCTTGCAGCTTGTACAATAACAGTATTTGTGATTTTGGAGCRGAAAGTCTTGCAAAAATTCTTCCTGCAATGGCATCGCTAAGAGTGTTAGAGTAAGTACGAAATGTTGTGAGATGAGATGGAGCAAAGTTGCTGATCTACTGCAATGCCACTTCTGTGCTGAGGAAAGCAGAGAGGTAGAATTTGAGGAAGGRAAGTTCAGATTTGTGATTATATTGGGCTGAAAGAGGCTGACAGTTAAGATGTAAAGGTTGCAGGGAGATAAAGAGGCGCTGCGTGACGGGTGTGGGCCTGGGAGGGCTGTTCCGTGCCCCTCCGGYGGAGCAGAGCTGGCCGGTCGAGTCAGTAGTTAGGGAGCATTAGGGAGCAGTTCAGCACAGATCCTGTGGAGCCACTGGAGCTTTGGGCTTTTGGAAGCAATCATCTTTTCTGATTTATTTTTTCTTTCTTCCACTATCCCTAATTAAGCCTCTGTGGCATTGCTGATACTGAATGAAATGTTTGGTGGTATTGCTAGGTGATGTGATCTGAAATAAGAAGTATGTTTTTGTTTTGTTTCTCCTCAGTGTTCAGTACAACAAGATAACTGACGTTGGAGCCCTACAGCTGACTAACAGCCTAAGAAAATGTCCCTGCATTAAGAATTTGCTGTGAGTCCCTTGATATTTTGCTTGTTTTATCTCAGGTCTGTAAATTAGCTTAGAATTTGTGCTACATAGTTTGCCCTAAGATTCCCATTGCTCATGCCAGGGTATCCTCCTCGTGTACTGACCCTCTCAGGGTTGCAGGACTGATATTTGAAGGATAAAGCATGTGCAGCCTTCACAAGAGGCTGGAGAGACAGAAGTRGCCAGAACACATTCAGGGCCAGGGAGTTCGATAGGAAGCTAATGAATACTCAGGGAGACAGGATATGTTTTAATTCATTTCATAGTTAAAATACTTTTATAGAACTATATTCCAAAGGGAAAGATAGCTTTTAAAAGAACCTATGAAACATGTTAAGCTTAAAATCTTTTTTTTCCTTTTTGAATCTTCTCTTACAGGATGTGGAATCCTACTATTCCCTATGGAGTTCTTGAGCATCTTCATCAGCTGGATTCTAGAATCAGTGTATAGATTCAGTTGATCCAATAAGGTAATTTAAACACTGCCTCTCTGAGACATGAAAATCTGTTTTGGTGGCATGTATTAATAGTTCTGTGGATCCATGATGGAGGCGAAAAAGAGAAAGGATGGGGGATAAATTGCACTACAGTTTTCAGGAGCCATTTTAATCTTGATGTCTTTAGTCCTGTTTTTGCTTCTTTTACTCCTTTGTGCTTATTTCCTGCTTTCTTACGCTTAGAGGTCCCTGTCTCCAGAGGTTTACCTGCAGCAACCTGGCTCAGTGCTGGGCTAAGGCCTTGCATGGTCCTACAGAGAAGATCAGGAACACTGATGGCAGCTCTGCAGGATATTCCATTTGATCTCTGACTAATTTAATTGCATTCATTAGTTCAGATGCAGACATTGTGTTGAAAGCTCATTTTTAGAGGACAACAGGCTTCTTCCAAAGCAGATTCCAGGGAGGATCACCAGAGCACAGGGGCATGTGAAGCACAGAGAAAGGCACAGGATCATAGGAGGCTGGATGCCTTAAAAATCCAGGARCTCCATTGAGAATCTTAATCTGTGGAACAGGCAGATTGTTGCTGTTTCAGGTTAGAAAGAACGGTGCGTGGTGGTGAACTCTTCTGCAGGGAGTTTGGAGTTGCCTTTTTTCTCCCCTTTGTGGTTTCTTCTTTCTGAATGCTCTTGGAAGAGCTTTTGCCACCAGTGCCACCTTCTGCCTCATGTCGTAGACCTTCCTTGGATTTGTCCTGCTTGAGGATTAAAGCAGGTTTTGGCCTGGAGCTCCAACTCCAGACATGCTTGCTATACTGTCCTCTGCTAAACCTGGTTTATGTCGCCAGCATTTGCTTTCACCTAGAGAAACAGATTTCAGCAGGAATGTCAGCTGAAGCGGGATGGGCAAACGAGGTTTGGTACGAGTGGCTCTGAGCGCGGGTGAGCAGACAGGGCCGTGGCTGTTCCCGTGGTGTTCCCATCGGCAGCCCGGCTCCGGTGCGAGGTTCCTGCGGGAATGGGAACATGATCGTCCTCCTTCCTTGGCATGGGGGTGGTAGCAGCAGGGAGCCAGCACCACATGTGCCGAGATCCGGATATTCAGCATCTACCAGTCACCGTCACCTCTTCTCCAATGACATAATATATATGCGTGTGTGTAGGTATAGGTATAAGTGTATATCAACATATGTGATTTTAGTGATGTCAGTGAGCAGTAAGCTATACATCTAATACTCTATTTTCATCGTTTCACAGGTAACCACAAGGAGAGCAGAAGGTCCCCTATGTATCTCCCTATATTCTTTGCTGCTTTATGAATTGGGAAAGAGCGAGCTGATCTTTGTGGCGGTGGCAAAATGAAAACTCTCCTTTGAGCTCCTGGGTGATTCTTGAAGTGGGTGAATGGTAGAGACGTCAAACACGGGAACAGTCTTTCAAGAGCCTCTTCAGAGACTCCGCTGCGTTTCCATTGCAGTGATGATTCGGTATCAAGCTTCAAAGATGAAAAGACACTGTCGTCTTTGGATGTTTTGGACAGTGCAATCACCACTGAATGCGCACAGGAGTCACCAGGATATCGGTGATAAAACTGCTGCTTTGATTCACCAAAGTGCAAGATCGCAAGCTGCTGAACCTGCCACTTTTGAAGTAATGAGAGAAAATCTGTGTGTTTTGTGGTGCCAGAGGTAACTGTGGTTGCACTTGATAAGTTTGGACTATAAAAGTTCAATTTTCACTGAGAATCTGTTGAATGGTCAGCCTAGAACATAGCCTGAAACAGTAAGATTATCCAGGAGAATCTAAAATTGGCTCTTCATATTTATCATCAGTGCTGTCTTAAGGGACAGAAGGACGTTTTCTTTCAAATAAGTCTCTTGTTATTGGTTCTTTCAAAAAGAATGGGGGGAAAAGATTGCTAAAGAGAAGAAAGGAATTAAAAAGGAAAAACTACTAAGGATGTTTCTGAAGCTATCACAGAAATCTAAATACTATAAATACATAGCACAAAAATCCGTCAAGTGACAGTCATCAAAACTTTTCAGTTCATCTAAAATGAAATTTTTAAAAGTGTTTTTTATTTTAAGGAGTGGGGGAAAATGCACTTATATATGGGTGTAAGCTATTAAGAAATAAATAAGAGCTAGACATCAACCTAAATATATCTGTGCATAAAGCTTTGAAGAGTTGAAAACTCTGACTACTGAAACACATTGGTGTTCTGGCTCATGTACCTGGATCGGGATTTAGTGGGATTTGTGCTACCGCTTGCAGGTGGGGACGTAACTGGGCAAGGATCTATTTTATACTTGAAATGACCTCACTGCTGCGTGCGGTTTATGGCCCTGTTTGCAGAGGTAGGAAGCATTAAGCAGGGGTGGCCAAGGGCAGATTCCCAGCTCTCTTCTGCCACCCTCGGGGTTCAATGGGCCCAGTTCTGGTGCCGTTCACCCCGAGAGCGAAGCCGGATCCAGGATCCAGAGCTGGTGGGCAGAGGGAAACCACACAGGGAGCCAGGGGGGAAACAWTCGGCTGGCTATGATTTTAACTAAAAAAATGATCATTTTATGCACTGTCTGCCTGGCTCCTCTGAGTCTCGCTAGAGCACTGGGGCTTTCACAGGAATAATCTGCAAATACTTCTCACTGTGGCTCTATTTGGGCACGTRCTAGCTATGAGGTAGGATTCTGTCAGGGCTACGTAAAATGGCGTTGGGTAAACTACTGTAGTAGGAGTGTTTTTAATGTACAGACTGCAGCTTGCAACGCAGTTTGGGGGATTTTGATATGTCTTTYGGAATGTATTAAAATACTCCTTTTCATAGTAACGCGCAGGACTTGTTGAAATTATTTTTTCTCTTTGCAACACTATGACAGCACCATTGGCTTCAATGGTAATGGCACGTGAAGGGCTTCCACGTTCTAGGCTGAAAGAAGCACCGTGTGAGAYGGGGCAGCCGCTAAGTGGTTTCATGGCTTGGAAATGGAGAAACGGCTTCCTTAGCGGGCAGCAGGGCCGGCTCTGTGCCCACCAGGAAGGTAGAAAGGAGCTGCCAGCTTCAGGGGGATGTTACTGTCGATCATCCCAACTACAAATTCTCAGACCAACCYAGATTCCATGTCTGGATACTCTTGAGCACCTTGTGTGCACGAGACTGAATTAACTCCCTCCCCTCTCTCCTTCCCCCAAAAAACCCAGCTGCAAGCAAGTATGTGTCCTAAAAATGCCTGTCTCTTGGAATTACGACGTACTGTATGCCTCCTTAGAGGATGGATAAAAGGCCAGGGTCGGTGTTGTGGTGACAGTCAGGTACTTTGCAGTAYTTTCCATGTTTGCAAAATGTGTGAAGCTCTTCTGAGATCACAGAACTCCTGACCAAAGYTGAGAGTCACCTAAGTGATCTGCTTGCTTGGGTTTTGTGTTGTGCACCAGGGGCAGGGACAAAACCCTGCACCCATTTCAGGAAATAATCACAAACCAGAAGCTCCTGTAACTGTGGTCATAGCCTGAATCCTGTTCATACATGTGACCCCAAATAACTGGTGTAAACTGTCCCTAGGAACAGTAAATTTAATTATACAGGAGTAAAATTCAGTATTTCTGGTGTTAATACCAAACAGGCATGTGACTATGAGCTAAACAGCTCCCTAAAACTTGGCTATTGTTTTCTGTCAGCCTTTTCTAAAAAGCATATTGAAAATAAGACAAAATAAGTACAATACCCGCCCTCAGTGACCTTTTTCCCACCCTCTTTATCGCTGTGTTGCTGGTGTTTCAGTCCAGGTCTGATTTTTAGAGCAGTTATTCACRGAGAAGGATTTCCTCTAAGCTGCCTTCCCAACAGTCTGTGCGGAACTATTTCCAGGTTCTTGTGAAAAAAAAAAACCCTGGACTTTCCTGGACAGCCTATTTAAATCCTCTTCTGTTCATACGGAAAAGAAACACCTCCAACAAAAGTCTGTTTAGTTTTCTATGAAAAAGGTCAGTCTTTATTGTATTGCTTTCATATCTGTACATAGGAACACCAGCTTAAACAATCTGTAAAGTACCTCGTGTTAGGTAATGAATCCACCTGACTTATATAAAATTAACTCTCTGCTCTATTTCAAAACTCACCATATAAATAAAGTGTCTTGCTAGCACAGTATGAGCCCCAATTCTGCCCTGAACAGAACCTTCCCTGCAGCCCCATGTGGGTATGTTCCCCTGAGAGAGCCCTGGCTTCGAACTGGCTGGTAGTGGTCGAGGTGGTGAGGGGGTCGGCGGCCGTACGCAGCGTGTCCGGGGGGTCACAGATCCATCAAACCACAGCCATGCCTGGAATTCCCTTTCCCAGCACAGCCTGGAATGAGCCCTGGAAGCCGCCGCTGTGCGCGGATCCCCGTTCCCCGCACACCACGGCCGTGGGCAGGAGTCACAGCGGAGCAGGGCTGATGCCAGCTCTGCCGCTGCCCCCTTGGCCGCCTTCACCTCTGCAGTTCACAGCGTAGCTTCTTCTTCTCCTTTGATCCAGCAGCCAGGCCATTATCCGTTCCAGGTGTTTCACAAGTCTGTTTAAAAGAAAACACACAACTATAACAAATACAGAGCAACCCTCTAGACTTGCACCCAACAAATACTTACATACGTTTGATATAGCACCATGTAATCCATAAATAAATAAGCCCAAACCTTTTCTGATGACTAATTCTTTGGGAAGTAAAGGCCTAACGACTTCTCACCGAAACCACTGTCACATCAGCCCTTAGTGCAATTTTCACAGAATTTCCACATTAGTGAGGGCTGAGGAGAATACGTGGTCGGCATCACTAAGGGTTGCTCTTAGGAGCACACAGTCACCCTGACATGCAAAGGGATAAGCTATTTTATGATAGATATATCATCCTTAAACTTATCTTTTTTTTTTTAAAAAACTTAAAACTAACTTTTGAATTTGATGCTTTCTTAAAAGCAGATGATAGGCAGGTCATCAATAGCATTTAGTAATGAGTTCTTTATGTGTTCTCTCCATCTGACACAGTCTCTGACGTTGCTCACTTCTCTTCAGAGACACTTGGTTCAAAACATTTTGGATCCACCAGTAAGTAGCTACGGAACCAAGTGAYATTCTTGAGTTTGGCGACAAAAACAAATTGTGTTGAAACGCTTTATGCCAATTTACCTCATTTGCCTTGGCCTGGCCAAAGTAGGTGACAGTTATTAGAGGGTGATCTCAACAATATGAGTCTGCATGAGGATTCCAGTGCGACTGTCCCATGTTCTACATCAACAGGCTGATGAACCCTGTGTCGCTAACAGCTACGTCATAGGGTGCCATAAAGCAACCAGACTGCCACAAAACTGGGGGACAGGCCCCTGTATGGATTGAAAAGCTGTTTCAAAGATGGGCTGCAAAGGACAGCGCTTGATAGCCGAACAATTGGTCTCTCGGGGCCCAGCTTTACTCAGGATCATCATCAGTGACTCAGAGAAGAGCCAACAACAACCTCCACCTGCCCACACCATGCTGACCTTGGAACCCCAACCAAGGGAATGTTCTGGCCTCATCACGAGCAGGAGGGAGGCCTGGGGTGAGCAGCAGCACCTGAAGCAGTCACCAAATTCTGGYCAACACCATGAGCAGACAGAGAAGAACATCAAGTGTTGGTGCTTGCCTGGCCCAAGGTTCGGTTCTGCTCTCTGCGTTTCCAGGGGGAGGCTGAAGGGCACAGAAGGTGCAGAGAACAACACTTGGGGTTGATCAAAACACCTTCCAAGCTGAACTAAAACCTCGGCTACCTGGCGGGCAGGTCAGTATCGTACATTGTGATCAAACCCTGCGCTGGTTAGAACCAACAGCRGGGCGGCCTGGGGCGCCAGGCCAGGCCAAAAGCTGCCTCCTGAAGGTGTCCAACACCACCACAGGGTTGCCAGTGCGGGATGGGAATTCAGTGGCAGACTGTACATGGTGTGTGAATGATTCAACCTACCAGAATGTTCAATCTGCCCTTTCCATTCAGCCATCCTCCAAATTTCAGTTGAAACTAATTTTCAATGGTGGGGGAAAAAAATACAGTTTTGCTGTTTCATGATTAGTAGCTGTCACCTGAAGTAGAGTGTTGCTATTTTTTCCAAGGGGGACAAATATAAATTAAAATTGATTCATTTCGTAATTCCTCTGATGGCTTCAAGTTGATAAGTGTCTCTTGTCATCTGCTCTCAAAGCAAGCTGATTTGGAGTAAATTTCATTCTTGTGATGAACAGCAACAAAAAAAMCAAGGAAATTCTTCATGATTTAGTCTTCAAAATCACTTGAGGGCTGTGGCTTTTACCCAGYGAAATACCCAGGCCTTAAACATTTCTGTTCTATGTTAGATGTCTCTTAATTTCCTATGACTCATTTAAATCCATGCTAATTAACAGCAGCTTTTGGAAAAGTGTTTTTAAAACCTGCCTCCTTGAAATAATAAATGACTGTATGTGGTAGAAAATCCTTTGGGATTGTGCCTGGCTGCAGTTAATGTGAATGGCCAGTTCATTAACTRAGACTGGTGCCTTCCTTCCAGCCGGGATGCAATTCCCGGTAACAGCGGCTGGAGCACAGCGGTCTCCTTACAGCACATCTACCAGGTGAGTTTGAGCACGTGACTGCTCTTAATTTTCACGACACTAAAGCACTCAAAACATAGCTCTAAAAAAATCATAGCTATTGCTCTTAATCCTGCTGAGTACAACCGACAGAAAACAGACAACTGTTCTGTATCATGGAGTCAATCTGTTTCCCATTTTGTTAAGGGAGATTTCTGCGAATGAAAGAAAAACATGTTTAGAAATGGGAAGGTGAAATGAGGAATTGGTCGCTTGCAGAGGCTGTTGTTAAGGGTCCAGGAGGAAAGCGCTCGGGTGGGTCCTGCTGTGCCCGTGCAGGTGTCCAGGGCTGTGGACAGCAGAGCAGGTCGGAGCCGGGGCAGCAATCCAGGCCGGCACCTCCATCCCGTCCCGCTTCCCATCCCGCGCAGCGCTCCGGGAGCCGGAGCAGCGCCCGCGCCGCTGCAGGTGCTGGCACGGAGCCCCGTGCGGAGTCACCAGCCCCTCAGCACTGCGTGCTGCTCGCCAAGGTCATGCATCACAACTCACCTCCATGCAAAAACAAATAAGGCCCGTGCTCTATTTTCTATTCCGTTTTCACTGCTGATTACTTTTGCTTTTTTTTTTTTTTTCTGATTACTTCACGATGAGTCACATTAATTTTAAGACCGCACAAGGAGAAAAATCACATTATTGCAAGGGACACGCTCAAAAAGTAGATGRCATTGGCAAGCTCAGTTCTGCTGAGCTTACACAGACACATTTCTGCATTTGAATAGGGSAGGAAGCTTCTTCAAGCTGCTTAGCCTCAACCTCTGCTGCCAAATTAATCACGACTATTTTGCTCAGAAACCTRGCCATAATTCTGCTTCTGCTGCGTTTCCTTATCCAAGTGAGGTTTCTGGTGCAAGGYAGAACTCTTCTGATGCGCAGACTCTTTCTCTTACCTCTAAAGACATCCCCTCTAGGGCTGATTCTTGGTTGCTCCTAGAGGGAGGGCATCGCCTGCCCATGCAAAGGCCCTGCAGCATTTGAGCTGGGCTCATCACAGCACTCCGGTGCTCCCGTCGCACTGCTGAGTCACACGGAGAGCCCTCCTCTTCACACACAACACAGATGCCTACACGTTCCTCAGCTCTGCTGCTAAAGCAGGGCTCATCTCCCCACGCAGGGCCCGAGGAACGCTCGGTGCCCCTGTTCCCAGCAGCCGGAGCCTTCCTCCCTCACGCCTTCCTCGTGCAACTTGGGCCTCTGAGCTCTGTGAAGGTCTCAGCTCCTCAATTTCCACATTTCTGCAGTTTGMTTTCTATATATGGAGGTGAAAATAGCAGTCTCACAGTGAAAATATCAAATAACTTGCAAAGCTTTTTATCCTATYGAAATGAAGTTTTAAGAAGCCCGTTTATGTGAACTGAGCAGGATGGAGCTCTGCTCCTCTGCTCTGCTAAGCTGCGTGTTTATGTAATAGGCAAAATCCACTGGAGGAAGGTTGTACGAGTGCTTTTCTCCTGGGGTCTTCCTGAAAATTAGATGCAATCCATCACGACAAATTCCAGTCAGCAAAAAAGTGAGAAGAAAGACAAAGACTTTAAAAATCCCTGTAATAGCATTGGACTATTAATACTGGGAGTTTGAGGAGAGATATTTTGGAGCATGAAGAGAGGGTCAGGCCTTTTTGCACACCATAGATTTTAAGTTTTCRTTAATTATTATGAATTCATTTCCTGGAGGACAGACAATTGGGATCCAAAGCCTGGCGACGGCTTTGGGCTCTCCTAGATCTGAACATGTTGTGCTGAAATTAAAGGGACAGAAGAGGAAAACGGTCACAGAAGTGGCCAGGGACGTTCCCTGGGGAGGTCAGTTCCATCTCAAACCCTCTGCAGCAGCCCAAGCGCTGGGAGCAGCAGCAGAGGGATGAGCACCTGCCTGCACTAACTGCCCACAGTGGAGCAGATCTGCCCTCGGTGTCTCGAGTTCCCACGGGCTCTGCTCAGCTGGGCACACACACACACACACATGCAGCACTATCAATATTGCTCCGGCAGTATCAGTATTACTCCAGCAACACCAGTTTCCACTTGTACCTGCTAAATCACGGGGCAAAATCTGCTCCCATTACTTCATATGGGGCCTGAGGAGCAATTTCTAGGGCTAACATTTTAACCTATATGAGAGAGAACACAATAGGAAAGGTAGCGTTTTTTTTCTTAAATTAGAAGACATCAAAATAGCTTGATACGAATGATATTTATCTACCATGCCCAGAGAAGATGCATTTGCAGCTACACAGCAAAATGTCCTGCTTCTGCATTTTCTATGTGAAAACCCCGAGGTGCCTGGAAGTTGTTTCCAAACGTGCAGCCCTGTTTTGCCCTCCTGGCAGATGTGCTGACACCCTGGCAGATGTGCTGACACTTCACTCCAAGCCGTGACTAACACCCAGCTGGCACCGAGAGCTCTAGCTGCAAACGGGGACTCGCTTCCGCAGCGCATCCCGGGGCCCTAAAACGCTAAACCCTCGCAACGTTTTCAGAGTTTTAAGGCGGCTGAGGGCTGCAGCAAACCCTCACGCTGTGATTAATATGAAAAGGCCGGTGAGGGGGGTAGGCTGAGCCAAGGCGCAGGCTTTGAGGGGGGTTTAGGATGGCCTCAAGGCTACTGCATGCGGACAGAAGTTGGGATAGAGGTTGGGATAGAGGTTATTCCMATGTCTTTTACGGGCAGGATCAGCAAGGACGGTGTCCGGCCCGGAGTGCAGGGGATGGGGGGTACCGGGGGGTCCCGYGTCCCGGCCAGGGGGGACTCACGTGCGGGCCCCGCGCTATTCCAGGTAGCCGTCGAGCACCTCGAGCTCGCCGTCCGCGTCGTAGAGCACGGAGCCCGTCTCGGAGAGCGCGCCCAGCTCCAGCAGCGCCTGCTCCACGTCCTCGGGCAGGAAGACGATGCCCACGTTGAGCACGATGTACTCCATGAGGAAGGCGTAGTAGAGGATGAGCACGTTGACGAAGAAGAGCCCCACGTAGAACATATAGGGCAGCACGAGCAGCGCGGGCGGCGGCCACGAGTCGAGCGCGTCGAGGCGCGCGCACACGGCGCCGGGCATGCGGGGGGCGGCCGCCGTGCGGGGAGCGGTGCGGGGAGCGGTGCGGAGCCCGCGGTGCGGGGAGCGGAGCGCGGCGCGGGCCCGCGTTGC